GCCTGGGAAGCGACCCGTCGGGCCTAATGAGCACGTGAAACCTCACGTACATATAGACTTCCGCGCCGTACATTGTACGGCTTGCCTTTCTAGAACATTACCCAGAAAGTTAAAGATCGTTCAATTTCTATTTTAAACAGATAAAAACAGAAACTCACAAGGAGTTTGAGAGGGAAAATCAGAATAGTTATAGTTTCGCAATAGTTTTGTTAAGGCTTTAAACGAACAGTTAAAATTTAAATATTAATGAGTATGAAAACACTGAGAAAAATGTGAACTTATCGGCTTTTCGTAAGGTTTGGAATATTATCTAATCCTATTCAAATTTCGATCATGTATGAAACACAGAAGTGAAGCTACATGTCGACTTATTAGTTATAAATCCGTACCAGCCTATTACACATCAGGGCCGCGCGAACGCGTCCCCCCACGCAAAAATTTAACTGTAGGCGAACCTCAACTCGAGGTTGCCTTACGGGTCAGCCCAATCAACAAGTGCAATGATCAGGCCTCTCCATAGAGACACCGTCTTCATGATCACAGCAATCTCACAGCCAAGTAAGTTTAATCGAAAAATACCATATGGTGAGGAAGATTTTATTATCCGTACACCATATGAGTCACTTCAAGTCACAGAAACTTTCAGGGGCAAAAAAACCTTCTTATACTTTCCAACCATCCTGGTACAACATAGAACAGTAGAATATCGCCTGGCCGGCACAAATACAAAAGTTATAACGTCGTCAAAACTGGCATGATTGTGGAACGCTTTGGCACCTTTTGTAGCACTCAGAGCAGTTAAACAATGAGAACTTGGCTAGATTTAACTAACCGTACTATGTATGATAGTCTGTTATTCACCAGTCTTCGTACTTCACTTCGTCTCATCTTGAAAATGCAAAGAACATCTATGTTCACTAATGAACAACATCAATAAGCAGCAGTGAGTGGAAAATGGATGTAGAGATTCTGAATGCCATTAGAATACACAACTTTCATGAGACTAAAGCTGAAGACAAGAATTGAAAAGGATACTTGAACCTTTACCGTTATAAAAACAATTTATATAATCCGAAGTTTTGAATGAATAGTTAGTGTTTATTTATTCTTTGAATAAAAAAGTTGGAATGTTTTCGAAGCGAATTGTCACCTCCTTAAAGGATTTCACAATGATGACTCGTATTTGAAATGATGAATGTGAAGAAAGCTGTACATGTTGAGATTAAAACTTGAGAACTTAAGGCAAATAAAGTTTTTTCTCTTGTCTAACGCGTGAGATAAGAAGTGTCGCTGAGACAGAAACAGAAATGATTGTTATAACAATCAACGGCAGCAAAGGTGCAACCTAAAAGAAAGTGTTATGATGATGAAAATGTTAATTCAAATCCTAACCATTTTGGGTATGCAAAGGGATCCACTGTTCAGTTGCTTCCGTTCTTCTGTATCTAATACTAATAGCTCTCGTGTCGCAACATCGATTTCAAGATCAGAATGAGTATCAACAGATCTACGAGTACGATTCACTTCATTAATAAGGTCTTCTCGATCGGCTCCACATTTAGGTGGCTACAAGTAAGTTCCTATATACATAAATTTCAAAATATTCTTACAGTAACATCCTGACACATTCCCATCTGTTTCTGACAAAGACGAACTTGACAAGTAAAGTACAACTGATTAGAGTCGGCATATTTGAAAACCTTAAGAGGTTGGTTATGAAATTAAACAGATTTGTCTTATACTTGACTAGTAGCATGGGCCCTCATTAAGTTTTGATCATATTGCAACTCACTTAGAAGGAAAGAATCGGTGGAGCATCTGAAATTGTATAATTACGCAAACAGTTCATACTTCATTTAATTCAAATACAGATTCTTGAATAGAAAATAATTCTCTAACCCAGAAACTGTCTCGAGAACTGTGCTAACAATAGCGAAAATTAAATTCTCGGCATGGGTAATGTTCTATTGAAATGTACCCGACTCTTGTCCGAATTTTGCCCTATTTCACTTTATGAATATTATTTTGATGAAAATTGTCTTAAAAGGAGTTATAGAGAATGAGATAGAAAGAGAGACTGAGAGGAGAAAAGCAAGTACATGGCTTACTACCTACAAGGTCAAAAACAGATCATTTTCGCGCTAACTTGGTCAATCTATTGTTCCATATCTCATTACCCTCATCTTTCCCTCTTTCTCTCTTTACCTTTTAAACTTATAAAAAGAAAATTATTTCGTGGATTAGGTTTCATTTGCCCACTGTAACAAAAGAAAATATAAAAACGAACATAATTCTATAAGTTCACAGGAGGATTCTCAAATGTTCCCTGTCCGATTAACCCGAGAAATTACTTTTTTGCCTGGCCTTATCGTCATTCATCTTTTTCTATTTACTAATAAACATAAAGGTTTCTCGAATATTTCAATAAACAATCTACTTTTTCGGTCATTTTAACGTTTTGAAGTGATCAAGCCACTCGGCATTCAAAAAGAAAGTCTTTCGTCTAATGCAAGAACTTTCTACCTTGAAACGAGAAGAAGGATTAGAAGCTCACCCATCAAAGTCTACAACAGCGTGATCTTCCCCATCTCCATCAGTAACGAAACATTTTTTGACAAGCATTCCCATATCTGCTGGACTACATTCCCACACATGGAAAACCTAAATTGAAATGTTATGACTCACTGAAGATAAACAGAATACTTACGGTTTCTCCAACATTAGCAAATGTAAGTGTCGGTCCGTTGGGAGAGTCACGCCGAACAGAATATTCACATTTTGGCATTGACATGGAATCTGAGAGCTCCGTTGTTGGGATATTACTGAAAATTCAAGAGAATGTGAAAAGAACACAGGATAGTTTAAAGATACCTGACTTCAATACCCTGAGTCACAATCTCATCTGGCTCCATGTAAAAGCATTTCACATGGAAAGCCCTATCATTCTTGGTTATGAAACCAGCAGGGTGAAAAGAAACAATGACGGTAACCATAAAATTGATTCCTCGTGGATTAGCCTGAGAAAACAATCTAATTGAGTTGTCACGAAATGAGGAAAGTACCGAGCGTAAGCGTTGCATTCCACATTTTCCAAGTGGCAAAGAATATGAATTAGTTCCATTGTTGGCATACGATTGACGACAAGATTTATCTTTGGCTCGCCCCTTCAAATGAAAAACACTTCTTAACATATGGATGAGATTCACTACCTTCACAAATATGTTTCCTTGAAAAGGTTTTGCTGTTACGATGTCCAAAGCCAGATCATTCTCCTCACATATTACTTTGGGAGTTCCTGAAAATGGCGAAAATGAGTTGAGCGTTCTTAACATTTATTTTTCTAAATTCTCTAAGAAACAATGGAGCTCTTTGAAAACGTTCCATTGACGGATAAAACTGTCGAAAGGCAAGGTCAGTTGAACTGACGAGATTTCCGACAAATTGAATTCTCAATTTTTATATCTTTTTTTTTGTTGCTTGTTCCTTAAGGATCAAATAAAATGTGATTGTTGAAAAGGCATGTCATTGAATGACAAATAGACAGCGTAGTTTCTTTTCTTATTCCTTGAAAACCAAAATAAGTTGGCATAGAAAGGATAATGATGTGCCTGAGATGACTTTGACTCACTAAAATTGACAACCACATTGACATTGAACTGTCAAGATTATTTGTATTCTTAAAAATGCCATCTGACTATTAAAATACTTTTTTGAAAGAAGTTTTCTTATACCATGAAAAGTTTAAAACAAACGTACCAACTATGCTATTTTCCAAGTAGTTGCTAGCGGCATGAGAAATAAGAATGAAACAGCTTAAAATGATTAGATGGCTCCACATTACTAGCAGATTATTCATTTTAAACAGTTGTTAATGTTGAATTGTGTCCAACGAATATGAATCGGGAGAAAGACAAACTGACCACTAGCCTCTAGGAAAGCTTTCACGAAGGTGAAGATGATCAGGTCAGCGTGAGTTCAACAAAACCATTAAATGGGCGGAGTAGAAGGGGCGGGGTCAAGAGCGTACCGTCCTCCGCCAGCATCTGCATAGAAAAAGAATTTCTAATTGAACAAAAGAAAAGAAATGTAAAGTAAGATTGACCTTTGCCTATTAAATTACATCATCAACATGAATATCTCGAAAAAAAAAGTCTTGAGAAACTCCTATGTTCAAGAGCAGATCAACTCATCTCTATTACAACTTATTTTGAAAATAGAAAAAAGCAAAGATGAGAACAACTATATATGACTATAGAAAAACTTTATTAATATTTACAAATGTAATGAAAGTTCGGAGATATATGAGATATATGGAACACGTTGAAAGCTTGAACAACAATTTTTATTTAAACGGCTGTTAATATTCATCTCAAAATAATAGTAAGTGAATATGTGTTTTCATTTCAATATTTTTGTGTATTCAACCTCATTTTGAACAAATTTATGTCCTCATTTTCGAAAAATAAATAAATTATTCTAATGTTTCCAAACACTTTCCTGTTCCGTTACGTGATCAACCATGTTTAATTAAATAAATAGGAACTTCTTTGCACGGTCTGGTCTTTCTCAATATTTTAAGAGAAGTATGTTTTTCGAATTCATAAAAATAGTTTAACCTGAAAATTCTCAACTCTATTTATCAAAGACTTTTTTCTGATTGAATGGATGGCATACAGGTGCATCAATTACACTTTTCTTTTGAACATTGTTAGTCCTGCCATTATGAGATCAACTGTCCTTTCAGCCAAGGACAAACATGCATTTGTCCCAATTTTAGCTCAGCTTGACCTCTGTTTCTTAAACTGAAATTAACTTTTTTTGTTACCTTCTCTTGAAACGTCCCTCAAAGAAGACATTGATAATCTCTAATAATAGTTTGCAAACAATTGATTGGTTCGGGAAAGAAACAATATGAATATCATATCGAAATATTTCTTTGAAGTATAATCCTCAACGTTTTCCTTAGACGTTGACCTCGGAAGTATAATAACATAATATTTAATGAGAACAATACATTCCTTCACGCTTGTTCAGTTTGGAAAATACAAAGGATAACATCCGTTTTTGTTCAGAAATGAGCTTGCATTTCATGATATAACTCTGTCTAGCTTTTCTACTTCAATTCGACAACCTCGAAGAGCTCATAGAATCATCGGAGAGGATTACATCTTCTTTGAATAGCGGTGAGCTCAAGATACTGTTTCATTCCAAGCGTACCCACACTGAAGCGGCTGTGCATGGTGATTTCATTTTCTATATGCACCTGAGTGTAGCGGTTGGTTTCACACTTTTTTTCATTCCGTGCGTAAGCATGCGTGAGCGGTCGTTCATCGGAGTGGTTTCATTTTTCAAGTTTACAAACTATTCCTCTACAGAAGTTTTCCAACATTCTAAGAATGGATTACAAGTACTCGTTCAACCTCAAGATCCCCGGATGCTCTAAATAATTTTATTAATATTTATTTTTTAAGTTTTTTATAATATGAACATATGAGCTTGGTTGAGCGAGAATTAAGATATCATGGCAAAACGGGCAATAACATTTGGAAGTCAGCCAGAAGCCGTTGGTAAAGATATGATTTGAGAGGACAGAGCGAGGAAAGTAAAAAAAACGATAGAAGTATGAGACAATCAAATTATAAATTGATGCTAAAGAAGAAGAGAAGAAAATGAGAAAAATTTAAGAATTGAAATCTCATTGAAAGCCTTGGAAGCTCCATAAATAGATTTTAATACTTTACGTGAAGAAATTTGGCACGTGAGAAAAAATCCAATATTAGTTTAAGAAAAGAAATGTTCTGCTTTTCAAAAATAAAATCTGAGGTAACAAATGAAGGAATGAGAAGAACCATATTCCTTATTTGGTTTAAAAGATTTCTCTCTCATCACTATTGATGGTGAGGGTCGTCATCTGAAAAAAAAATTATAGAAGTATTTTCGTTGAATTATGTTGATTAGACATGAAACGGAAAGGAAAGAAAATCAAAGCCATTCCGAAATCTGAATTAATCAAAGGAAGCTCGAACTCAAAATCTTAATTAAAGCATGAAATTAAAAGCTTAAAACTGAAATAATAAGAAGCCGGACACCATCAGTGACTCGAGAGCATAGGTTGTTAGCTTGTAGCGAACATATAGTTAATTGGCTTACAGATGTTCTTTCCTTTACCTTGTTGTATTCTAGGTCAAAAATTTAAAAGTGAATAGGGACAGTATGATCTGAAGAATCGGATACCATTGACGGAGTTGTTGGTTTATGGTCCGGGTTGTTGTATGACTTCCTGGAAAATCACAACACTATTAAATAGAAAAATGAATATCTCACAAGTTGACAGGTGTTGTTGGATTATCATAGGTAGCAGTAGATCCTTTCTCAGTTCTAGAAAGCTCATCTTCCTTTAACTTCATGCCACCATTCGACCTTCTATTGTATAGCTTAATCGATTGGTTAAACAACTTCTTGATCAAATGTAGCCTTACGAAAATAACGAGGATAGCTACAACAAGAACAACGATAACAGCTATTGTTATGACAGAGCCAATAAGGAACACTGATGGAGCTGATGTCTCATATGATGCCTGGATGTGTTCAATGAAGTTTCTAGAAGCGATTCCTGAAAATATGGTCAACATATGTTCTCGTTCTGTGAATAGTAATCACCGTTTACGGTAATACTTCTGGGATCAACTGTGTGTTGCCCAAGTTTTTGAGAGTTATGGGAAATATGAGACTCAATTCTGGAAGAGGGAAAATGAAAATAAACTTTTATATTACAGTCTCATACTTGGATGCGACTTCCTCTACGTTAGCAATTTCATTGCGAGTGATGATGTCTCCGTTAACTATAACAGAGCCTTTTTTGAAGGATTGAATTTCATAGGACACAAAATTATGTCCAATGATTTCTTTGAGTATCTCTGTCACCTCAAAAACAAGAAGTAAGTCATGCCAAGTATGAATAGATTACCTGAGGTGTTACTTGTTCTCTTAACTTATTGAATTTTCCACTCTTTTCGTCACCAAATTCAAGGACATAATCGAGATCTGTTAAGCGAAGCACTAAATCTGCTTTGTAAGAAGCAGGAATCGCTGGGCGGTTTGCTAAACTGGCGACAGCTGATGTATTAATTTGACTTGTAGCCTCCGAAGTTAGAGGTGTTGAAGTTGTGCTTTCAGAAGTTGTTGTTGTTGTTGTTGTTGATGTAAGTTCATTTGTCGTTTCAGTTTTCTCAGTAGTTGATGAAACAACACTCTCTGTGGTAGATTCTGTTGTAACATCGACGGATGATGATTCAGATGAGATGATGATTGGTTGTTCTGTAGATGTTGGGATGGTAGAAGCATCAGTTAATTCTTCAATAGATGATTCATCTGCTGTGGCAACGGTTTCCATTTCTATTGGCATAATCGTCGAACTGGATATAACATCTTCAGATGTCGTTCTCTCTTCCGCAATTACAATTGGAGTAGTCGAAAAATCATTTTCACTTGAATCAGATGTTGTTATTTCAAGAGTTTCCGTGGAAGCTGTTGGTGAGAAAGAAGAAGGAGAAATTGAAATTGGTTTCTGAAAAATAATTATTCTCGAAAAGAAAACTCTTTTTTAACATACGTTTTCGAGAATCTTGTCATTTTCTTCTGGTAACTGAACAATGGGGAATGCTGGTGTCTCTTCCCTGGTAATCTTCAATATCTTCGATTAATTATCCAAATTGAATGAAAATTGTACCTGCGTTGGTGACCCATCTGGCTCGAAAAGGCCACTGAGTCCCTCGGAATCAAATGGCTCTCCTGAAATCTTTGAGTGAACAAGAGTAAAAGGACAAGAGCGCCAGAATAAAATCAAAAAGATCAATTTGTCACCTTCAGATTCAGAATCTTCTGTTGATGTTGATGGAGTCAATGAGCTCGTGACTGGTTCTTCGGCTGAAAAATTAAGACTAAAAGTCTGAAAATGAAATGGTCCAACAGATCTGCGTGGAAGAAGAAGAAATTTCAGGTTCTGTAACTTCAGCAACTTCAACTATAGATTCCGAAGATGTTTGTGGAAGAACAGTGGTGACGTCATTCTCGGTTGTTTCTGTGGAAGGTTTGAAGGATGAAGTTACAGCTTCTTCCTTTTCCTTAAGAACACGAGTTTCTAAAACTTGATCAGTAACGGAAACAACAGTTTCTTCCGTTGTTGGTAAAGAAGTTGTAGATGTAGCATCATGAACCTGAAAACGACCTTGATCAATGAAAAAAAGTTTTTCTCTCTTCACAAAGTTTTCTTTTGTGTTTCAGGAAAATTTTTGGATAAAAACAGAAAAATAACAGGAAAACAAACAAATCTACCTCAGAGATTGTCGTAGCTTCAGGTGTGAAGGCCTCGGAGGTTATTGATGTTGTGGGAGAAGTTGAAGCTGAAGACGTTTTCGAATCATCTTCGGTTGTCAAATCATAGTTTCCGAATGGATCCGGAATGTTCTGTTGAAAAAAAGAATAAATGATCTCATAAAAAATGATTAAAACTTCTTCATTCTCTCCATCATTCTCTGATACAATTGATTCAGTCGATTTTTGGTCATTAGCAGCTTAAGTTACGATATGTATTAAAATATTTTCGACCAAATCTACCTGCAGCTGCAGCAGCCAAAGCTTTAGAAGGACTATCAATTTCCATCGGTTCAGAGAATAATCCGACGACGGCGGTGCTCACTTCGAATACATCTGACCCTTCATTAACTTCTGAGTCAAATGAAAACTCTGGTTCGGGAGCACGAGTTGTGACAGTCGATTCAAAATCAAAAATATCCGGATCGGTTTCACTTTGTGATGCAACTCCTACATAAGTGAGTATAGGGCAGAAAAGAAGAAACAAACTACCTGTGAATATTAAAAGGCAAATTGACAAAGTTGAAATGAAACGCATCTTCAGCTGAAAAAAAAAAGAACTGAAATAATCGAAAATGGAAAGAAGAAGCCAAAGAAAGATAAAGCCATTGATGAAGTTAATGGCGATTGTGTCCGTTAAAAGAGAGAAAAATACTTGGCTAACATCATCGAAAAAAAAAGAAAAGCAGCTAGCATAGTGTGACTAATGCTGATTATGCATTCAATCAGTCATTCCCATAATACAGTCTTTTAAACGTTTTTTTCTTCTTAATTTATACATATAGTTAGGGACTTGCATAGAAAAATCACAACTGCTTCAAAAGTTCTCGTTCATTCAGATGAACTTTACGAACTTAATTGCCCTGGAATGATAATGGGAATTACATTCAAGATGTCAGGAGGCCTCGCAAAATTTCAAATTTTTTTCATTTTTTTCGATGAAAAAAAATGAAAAGATAGATAGAGAAAGAGAGATTGTAGAGAGAATGAAATGGGTGGGAAGGGGTGAAGGAGGAGATGGTGGAACGGTTAAGATGATGATGATGATGATGAAGAGGAAAGGGGAAGACAGCCGAAATGACCGAATAAGGAAGTTGTCTGGAAGCCACAACAATAAACACTCGGAAACACTGAAGTAAAATTAGAAGTTTTAGTTTTATACTATACACATATAGTTAATATAAAACAAAAAGGGAATAGGATGGGTGTGAAGCAAAGCTAAGGTCAAAGTAAATATTCAAATGTTCATAATCGGATGATGTTCGAGATGTCGTGGAGACAACGTTCTAAACAAAGCAAACGTTCTTGATATGAATATACGTATAGTTAACTTTTAATAAAAATAATAAACAATACTCAAAAACACTTCATAATGGATTAAGCAGAAGAAGAGAGATAAAGAGAGAGGGAGAGAGAGAGAGAGAGAGAGAGAGAGAGAGATAAGTAATTAAGATTGACAAGAGTCTCTTGAAGGCGATTTATTAAATCATAATTACTTTTACGTACGTATTTTTATTTTGACGACTTCACGTGAGTATGCACGTGAGTATCAAGATATAAGGTGTAATATAAGGAGAACAATAGTAATATATAACATTTTCCTTTTGTAAACGATCAGAAAACATATGAAAAAAGTTTTTTTTATTATTTCCCCAACAGAAAAGAAACAGAAACGATAACCTTTTAAGGCAAAAACCATTTGATTGGCTACTTCCTTATGGAAGTTTGGACACACTCTATGTCATTTACATTTATTATTAAAGAAGCATCCTTAAGTATTTTGTGGTCAAATATGGTCATGCTTAAGCTGTCCTTCACCTTTCTCTCTATCTCTCTCTCTCACACTCCTTTCTCTGCAATGATCATTAAGAGGGTTTAGTATAACATCGTTTGATAATAAAGTTCAATAAAAAAATTCTTCAAAACGGCATTAAATGGATTCTCAACAATCATCAGTATTGTACGAAAAATATTTTTTATTCACTAGAAAATCTTTGTTTTCAGATGTTTCGTTCAAATTTCGCTTAAAGTCAGTTAATTATGCGTATAATGGCTAGTTATATCATATAATTAACATATTTGAAAAAAAACAATTTCGGAATATATTCTGGTGTTTTGAAGATTGAAAAAGAAATGAAAAAGTGTTGTTTTCTGGAGTTAAGGTGTGAAATATCTCATAAACGGAAAAAATGAGACGAAATTGGCTTTGATTCGACGACAAAATGGAAGTCTGATCATCTTAAGATAATGTTCGATGATTCAATGCTAGTTGGAAGAGAATATAAGGAGGGACAGAGAGAGAGAAGAGATTGCAACACAAAGAGAAAGAGAGATAGGAGCAAAAGAGGAAAAAGAGTTAAATAATGAAGAGAATCTCCGACCTTAAACCTACAGGAACCTATCCAACTGTTCATCGTGACTGTCAAAGACCATCTGAGGCCAAATGACAACCAGTACGTCTTTTAGACTTTTGTATTTTTCTATGATTCTCCTCTATCTATATAATCTCTCACGAAATTGTTCCTTATTTAACCTAAAGTTAAAAGGAATGAAAGGCGGTAAATTCTTGTCTCTAATCTCAAAGATAAAAATCTTTTCTTTCAACTGGACAAAACTTCAATTTTGCGCACTTTTTTCATGAAGACGATTAAAATGGAAATAAAAATGAAAAACAACAATCAAAATTAAGATGAAAAAATGTTTTGTTCATTCATAGAGAATAAGAAAAAATAGCTGAATGAAGCTAAAATACGTCTTCTGCATAAGCTTCTACTTCTGCACAAGCCGGTTGGAAAAGCCGAAGGGCGGCGGACGAGGAACGACAAAGCTGACAAAAATCTTTCACATCCAATGATAAGACATGTACTAAAACCAACAAAACAAAGAGAAGGAACGAGAACAACAAAAAAAAAGATGATTTTATGAGATTGAAATTTATAATGTTTCAGAGAATGGAAAATCTGTGAAGAAGGTAATGCGGGGTGGTCGGTGAATGCTTGTGAAGATGATGAAGTGATGTTACATGGGTGGTTGTTGAATTCTTATGTAAACAGATGATTAAAAAATTAGAATTATTCGTATAGTTAAGATGGATACAGACAGTTAGGAACATGTAAAAGAGAACGAAAAAACGCTTATTCAGCCCAGCCAAGCATATCGCTTTTCAAGTTGTAACAGGTAGGAAAAGCCTAATTGAAGAACAAGCTGAAATGGAATTTTCCATGTAATTCCTATTGTCTGGTTTTTCTATTGAAACTCACTAAAAAAGAGATCCCAATACGATAATTGTTTTCGAAATATTAAACAATCAAATAGTATCCATTAGGGGAATCCTTGAAATACTATTGATTTCGTCTTCTTTTTTAAAAATAACTATACGTATAGTTAATGGCATTGACGACAAATTAGATGAAACTGTCAGAAAGTGATGAAGCCAGTCATTTTCCTTTTCCACAAACTACCTTTCATCGCTATTACTCTTACTTTCCATGAAAGTTTCACAAGCAAAATCATTATGGATGAGGTGGACGGTGAGAATTGCAAAAGGAAAGTTAAAATTTCGATTTCCTTTCTCTCTTCATCAATCTCTCTCTCCGTTTCGCTCTGTCTCTCTGTCTTTCTCTGGAAAGTTATGTCAACCTTCACCTTTCAACGAAGCCAAACAAAACAAACTGGATCGGCTATTCCCAATGAGCTTTTCGTTTGAAAGTCCGAAAACCCCCTGAGGGAAACAAGCGTTTAACAGTTAAAGGAAGAAAGGAAAGTAATAAAAGAGAGAAAATGGTTTTTTTTCTTCTTCGAAAGTCGTTCATCTACTTTTGACAGAAAAGTTTGTTTCATTTTTAATTCAAATCATTTACTATGACATGTAAAGGCAAGTCCAAGGACATCTTTCTCATTTGCAAAAAAAGGAAAAAAAATTAAAGTTAGTTGTGTGCCAGAAATTGTTTTGAAATTTAAATAATTGGTAAGAGAAGCCCTCTATTGCGAATCTTTTTTTCTGTTTTCCCAAAACTGTACACATTGACATATAAAAGCTTGAAACGTGTTTGGAAGCGATTAAAATTTTGCGACAAACAGGTAATCTGCATTTTTCACTCAAAACATATCCAGAGATGAATATGTACTTGAAATGCTTAGCTTTTACAGCTTAATATTATAATCTGTAGCTCGTTCACATAGGCAAATTATTTGAGTGAACGCATTGCGAAACTCTTTGCTTCTTCCGGAATAACCGGATTGACAGATTAGACGAGCTGACAGACGGTCAAAGCCGGCTTATGAACTCCGAAACCTCTAAATGACAAAATTAGCTTTGAACCCAGTAGGACATTCTAAGAAATAAATGAATAAAACAAACAGAACGTTCTTTAACAAAAAAGTGAACTAGATGTTCTCTTTTCAAAGAAGCTCATTCGACGTGAAAATTCAGAACATAACCCGAAGGTTCATTCATATCGAAAAAAATGTAGTGAACGGTTGTTCATGGGTATGTTTTCAAGCTATTTGAAGAACTTCATTCAGATCTGAATGATCAAGCACAAGTTGGAATGATTCTTCGGGAAGTATCTGTGAAAGTCATAAAGTCAGTTGGAAGAGAGCGAATTTGAATAAAATTTTAATTATATGGGGGCTAGAAACTCGTCATTGACAGACAATAACCCATTTTTACTGTGAATACTATACTTGTATAGTTAAGGTTAAAAGTTGAAAATAATGGTTATTGATAGTACAATGAAAGGAAAAGAGCATCTATAGGACAGCACATATATAGTATAGTATAATATTTTTTAATTGAAAAAATAAAATTACAAAAGACAGATGACTATCAGATTCTGTTTTGTAGCCAAACTACATCAGACGGACATCAGAAGAAATGACGACATCCTCTTTCGTCTGTCTATCGTCGGAGAAGATGAAAACGAGAAGAGAACAACGACTTAAACAAGCATTTTTATGAAATATTTTACAAAACTGGGTCTTGAGCCGTTTGTTGTTTTCTTCACAGAGAATTCTGTAAAAGCAATAAGGAGCTGTCACTAAGAGTGAGAGAGAGAAACACCGGATCAGGCATAGAGAAATGAGAAGAAAAGATAAAAAGAGAGGAACAGGCAGATATTGGTGTCAAAAGACCCATTTATGTGGCAAAAACTCAGCTAAAACATCATTTCGAATTAAGAGAGTTCAGGAGACTACAGAAGGAAAAAGAAAAATTCATTTATGAATTGCGATGAAACAAATAGATAAACCAAAAAAGACATGATTCTATTTTCTTTTTTTTCATTACTTTGCTGTGTATCGTTTGAACCTATAAGATTCGGAATGGAACATACATCTCGTAACGAATGAATAACATTATAAACTGACTGTATGGTATAGATAGTAGATATGAACTACACGGGAGGGGCATATACAGCATAAATTATAGGAAAAAAGATGAATTTCTGAATTGAAATGAGACTGTATTAATAGTAAAATGAAATTAGCATATAGTATAGTATAGTTATCAATATATTATTATTTTGATGGCCTAATATCAGATAACTCTTCAAAAAACGTCTCGCATTCCATCGTTTCCATCTTATCAATCTGAATTTCAAGAACTCACATGTTTTTCAAAGCTGGATAGAAATAAGAAAAGACAATAAAATACCATACTAACCATACGATTGAAGAGTATATGAAAGGAGCGTAGGCTTTGGAATAAGTTTTCTATTTGGGAGTGAACGAAAGTATTGCGAACATACTTGCCGATGCGTTTCAGAACGCCTTCAAACGTATCCATTAGCAGTTTCGCCTTAAATTCAGAGATTACAACATATGTAATATTATTAAAACTTCTTTTATAGCGTCTCGCAACTCAATACACCCGTATAAGGCTCCGATCTGTTGATCAATATCCTTTGAAGTGTTCATCTATAAGTTCAGCTTCATCTCAATTATGTTAAACAACTACTTTAGTCTCATTGGCATTCTTTTCAGAAGACGATAACTTTACGATTTTTTCCTGTATAATAAGAATATTACTATCACAAGCGCAATAGGTGTATTGGTTACTACATGTTCATCGTTGCGAAGCTTCTCTATGCGGCACTGGAGGATTGCGTCACTTAATTGACGTTGAATCTTCAAGAATTCAGTTTTTTCTAATATTTTCAGAATACACATACTTTTCGTCCAAACTTATTCAATTCTTCCATCATATCATCCACATTTTGTACGATTTCCGTCAACGCCTTGTCGAGAGTCATATTGTTGTGAAGAAAAACAACCGCTTTCTTGCCCCTTCCTGGCGTGAATGAAACATTGATTGATTTATCCGAATACATTAATCTGCATTTTCCAGTTATGCAAACCATTCTATACCAATGAAGCTTAGCGCATAGTTGTCATGACAACCCTCTTACCCCGGTCAGGCAATACTTCTCGGTTCGGCTATCTTCTGTCCTTGGTATGGCTGAGGTACAAACGAACTTGTTAGAACGCGTCAGAAATGGCTCTGAGCATTTAATGATTAAGGTTTGTTTTGATAAAGTAACCAACAAGATGGAGTTCCGCGTTCAGGCTATTGTGAAAAACGTTTTTAACGAACATCATCGGCAAACGAAAAGGAAACCCAGGGTTTTTTCAAATGAAGGTGAGCTTATTAAATCTTTAAATCGTCTTTTATTCTATACCAGAATTATTTGAAATCAGTCTTATATTTCAACGACTGTTTCAATTGAACTTGATCAATACGGCCTCAGTACTGGAATGCGAAACACCACAAGTAGTCTATTAATGTTGTTCATTTTACAACATCATTCTCATTCAGAATTTATACACAGAAGAAGTTTTGAAGGAGATTGTGATTAACTATTCCAATAAACAACCGTTATCGTCAGTTCACGAAGTGAAAAACGGACAGAAACTGCCCGAAACATCTTCGAAGTCATTAATTGTTAATATAATTCGTTCCCGTCCACGAATTTTTTTTCGAATTTAGGAGAAGAAGCCTATGGTGCCAGTGAGCACACTAAAAGATCTTCGTATATTCCGAGAAAAAACGAATGAAGAAATGGTGGAATCAAGAAAGTTAATCCATTCGAGAAAACCATTCAGAGAAGACGATGAGGACGAGGAAGAGGACGAAGATATCGATGATGACGAAGAGGATGATGTAATGTTTTGTAGAAATTGTCTCTGACTCAACAATACACTATATTGCATTCAGGAGCATACGAATGATGACAAAGAGTCAACAGGCGAAGAAGAAAACAACGGTTCTGATGGGAACTCAGACGTTCGTTCTAAAGTTTCAGATGATACGATTACATCACCGAGCTCATCAGAAGAAGAGTATGGCATATTTTATAAATTGAATAACAGCTTCATTGAAGAGTTAATCCTGAATGGACCAAAACGTTGATGTCATCCCAATCAAAAGCTAACAAAATAAATGAAAACAAGTCGTCTAAAGAGTATGAGAATTGCAAGCAGTTGTCTCCAACCGACCTTTTCTTCAGAACATTACCTACTTTTCCTGCTCTATCACTTCAACGGTTGCCTCCTATTATCAGGCCATTAGCTGATACTTTGACGTCGAGTAAACTAGAAGTCTTTACTATCAATTTTAGTCAAGTCAATTACAGAAGAAGAATCCCCAACCAGTACTGATTCAGAACCGAAGTCTGATAGAAAAAAACGCAGTATCACAGAAAAGCAAGTTGATTCAACCCTGACTGAGGCTAATAGACAAGAAGTAGAAGAGATATGTAAGAAAGACTATTATTGTACTTAACATATATTTTGAATTCAGCCGGTGAATTAGAAGAGCTGAACTTTGATGACATGTCGGCAGATTTCAGCGATAGCGCAGAAAGCATATCGTTTTGAGAATGTTCCAATGACGTCTTATTACCACTATAAACTCTATATATCGATTCATTCTTCTTGTATTCTCGAATAAAACGCATTACTTTATTTTAAAGGGGAATAAAAAACTACAAAGTACAACAAGGACATGAGAGCGATCGCTATGCGTACTGTTTTTATAAGCGTAATGTTGTATAAAATTCGAGACATCGTTTATTTTGCGTAGCGCTGTAAAATTTGCTGCTGCCGCTTATCGCTGATATTTTATTATGCTAACTTTTAGTAATGAAAGGAATTATTCCAAGAAACATGAAGCTTATAGTAGCATGTGATCTTGATGGAGGTATTGGCAAAAATAATTCTATTCCTTGGACTCTAAGGAAGGATATGACATACTTTATGAAGTCTACTTGTCATGTGGAGGACTCGAAAAAGGTACTTTCAGTTAGTTTTTGACCTTATTTTTCCTCACATTGAAGCGAAATGCAGTTATCATGGGGCGAAAATGTTGGGAAAGTATACCAGATAAGTTCAAGCCGTTGAAGAACCGTTTGAACATCGTGATCAGTCGTACCTTAGAACCCTGCAGAAGCGACAATCTCATTATAACGTAAGTACTTTTAAATTCACATTTTTACATTTTTTTTCTGTGATTAGGAATGATTTCGACAAGATGTTTGAAGAGTTGTGCTCTCCACCAATGTCTGAGAATATCGAAAATGTTTGGAATATAGGTGGTCGTGATATTTACCTCCTGGCTCTTCAGAAAAACTTGGTGGATAGCATATATCTTACGAAAGTTCAAGGAAGGTATGTTTGTGAGTATCTTATATGTTCTGATTTATTGATCTGTAGGTTCGATGCTGATATCATCCTCGATTTGAATCTGGAAGATTTTGTGGAAGATGCATCTAAAAAGTTAGAAGGTTTAGAGGAGAATGGTATTTCTTATGCCTTCCATGTATATAATCGAGTGTGTTGAGAGAGAATATCACTCACTTAAAATAAACTATTCCTATTTATTGTTAAACTGTTGTGATATTGGTTTCATCCACATCCGTATCTTATTCTTAGTTATTGTTCCAGCAAGCACTTCCATCCTTTTTCAGATGGGGAACGGTCGGAAGAAGAAAGGAAGTTTCATTCAGAACGGCGTCAGGCATAGCGGGATAACCCAAACTAGTACCATAGGAAAGCATGCTAAGGTAATACGTGAGAATTGGCTTGGCTTTGTTAACTCGTCTAACTGATTGATTATTGGCTTGGGTCATGTTTAATGAATTTTCTGTGAGATGGATAATTAATTTATTAGAATATGCAGTCGATATTATGCTTACAAAAGTCTTTGTTTACTTGATTTATCCTTATTACTTTTTGAAGATGAATAGCTCCATACATGATGGATCTGATCAGGAATCTGTCTGTTCTCTCCCACGGAGTAGGACTGGGTCTACCTTCCAGAAGGATATCAATAACTCCCCTCTACACGATTTAGATGATAATCCAATTTCACCGTACTGTCTAAAACATTCATCACCGTTATCCAATTTTCGTTCAGGTTCAATGCTGATGAAGGCGTTGAAGTTCCTTCTGTTACTCCATCTTGTTCTGCTGAGTCTCAAACTGAAATGGTTAACCAAAATGACGGGCTCTTGCAGTTTTTCGAAGTGAGTCCGATGCCAATTTCAAACGTAATGTTTTTCAATTCAGTTGTCCCCTTGGGATCAAGTAGAGACAATGTGCGAAATAGTGTCTTGTCTTGGAATTTATGAGCTTAGATTGTTAGGAGCCTGTGTAGAGGTTTAATTCGGCTTCGTTCACTTAAATTATTAGATTATATGCAGGGAGCTGCCCGACCTCAAGCTACCAACTTAAGACCACAAGAGCTAAGGGCGAATAGTCCTTCTTTCATATCCGGTTTAGCTACGCAGTAAGTCTTTTTCTATTTTTGTTTGGTAGTATTTTCTATCACTCAGATTGAGAATGACATATCCTGATACTATTGATTGCGCTTTCTCTATGGTCTCATTGCTGCAATCTACGAATAGAAGTGGAGCTTATGCTTTTGTTCGGCTTATCGATCAATTGATGGCTGACCGTGATTCTCAAATACCAAACTTGCCCGAAGATATTCAGAAGAAAACTTTACAATCCTTAGGAAAACTAGGTACTGAAAATTATTAAGACAACACTTCAACATGAATATTATTCAGTAACTGCCTCTCTTCATCATCCAGCATTTTCGATAGATCAAAGAATTCGATTAATAAATGCTAGAGATGATTTGAGAAGTCAATTAGAAAGAATGAATATCAATAGTACGTTTCATAGTTTTACATATAATTTTCCTGTTTCATAGGACCTCGGAGTCCAAGGGACTCTCAATCGTATGGCGGTTTACTATACATTAGAAGATTTAATGCCTCCTTAGCTCCGAATAGCAACGACCTTTTTACAATTGAGGTATATTACCTAAAAATCGCTTTCGGGAGTTCATCCAATGTTTCAGTTGGTGTGGAATGACGGCGAACGAACGTACGTTAGTAGAACTCGTGATGAAATCGCTGCCTTACATTACCGTCTACTCGATCTCTTCGGTGAAGAGCGACGAGAAGTTTCTGAACTCTTAGAAAGTCGGGATTCAAAATCATACAGTCGAACTGTTACTAATGGAACAGGTTTTTATACTCCTATTACGCCACTTACCAATTATTTCCAGCTACTGGAAGCTCTCGGATATTACCCCATTTCTTCCCAGAAGCTAGCTCACAAGTAGTTATAGATTACATCAATGGGTTGTCCGATCTTCCTGCAAGAATGATGTTAAGCTCAATAATTTATGAAGAGTTTTATACATCTCGCCAATGTTCTGATGATTTGCAGGTTTGCGTGGTTTTTGATTTCATCAACACGTTACACAATATGTTCAGAATTCCGAGAGAGGGGAAAGGCGCAATTCCGTGTCCCCTTCGCTTATACCTCATAAAATTCCTGCCACAACTGCCCCAACGTTTTCATATACCACGATGCCATTATCATATGGACCATTAGCAAATATACCATCGATCATGCAGGTTGTGGTTTGCCTGGTGTTCATTTCCTCAATTTTATTGTTCATGTTTAGCTGACAAGTCCAACTTGCAGTAATTGTGCTGGACCTCATTCGTTTGTGCATTGCGATAAGAAGAACATTATGGAAATCAACCCTGTAGGAAAAGGTTGGTTATCACTTGAACTAAAGAACTGATAACGTGTTTGAAGAACCGTTCCGCCTGTACATGGGTGATATGGATCGAGGTGAATTCAAAGTGTTCAGAACGCCTCATATGGCACCTCATCCAATTGTTATTCCTGAGCATATGGGGCTATATCCCCAACCAATTTTAGTTCCACAGCCTATCTACGCTCATAATATGCCTGTGGTTGCACCTCAGCCAAAGTTACAATAGATTTTCTATAAAATGATTAGCCACGTGTCTTTTCTGCCCAACAGAGTGCTTTCCAGCAATAGTCTTCTGCTACCAATAGGTTTTATTCTGTTTGCCTTGAAATTTCAGGTATATTGAACCGTTCAATTCTCTAGTTCTTTACGGTTATGTTTTGCTCTCTGCACTGTTGTGATCGCTTGTTCCTGTAATTGTCGTAACATTGTTTTCCTAGTCTATGTACTCAATTTGTTTTATATTATTTCTTTATATTGGAGCCTATTGACACTAATCTCACCTTATATAGCTATTTATTTTTTTAAACTTATGTCAGTGCTTATCGGATTCGAATGCCATTCATTCTTATATAGGTTCTATTCTGGTTAATATTACAATAAAACTGATTCTTCAATTTATTAGTACACAGAAACTTATTAATCACATGAATTGTTTGGCTATGCCTCCAAAAAGGTTGACCTGCTCATTTATAATTCTAGAATTAATGCAGTTTGCAACTTCTTTCCAGAGAAGTATTCTCTTGGTTTTAGAGTATGACACACCCCCCTCTAAAACAGCTGTCAGCTGCGCAATGCTGTCTGATTCTTCCGAGTATAAGTTAAACCATTTGATCAACTCAGTTTTTTTGAAAAAAACCCTCTCTTCATGAGCATCTAGTCGGAATTCGCCTTCCATATCACAGGGATGTTTAATCATGTCCTCTGGTGCGAAATTTCCGCGTGTTGGTTGATGAACTTCACAGACAGAAGGAATGTGTATGAACAATGCCTCTCCTTCCCGAAAATGAATTCCTCGTGGAAAGAAGAAATCAGCTGGGGATTTAGACTCATTCAAGTCATTTTGAGATTTGAATTCTTCCAAAAAATCCGGAACTACTTCATCATCCGTGAACTCCACTCTGCTTACGAAAGAATGAGCGTTGAAAGTTTGTCGCTTTGAAAAAAGGTATAACTCACACCAATCATCAGTACGGACAACGCTGAAAAGATTATATAGTAAAAGAAGGTCATTGTTAATCTTACTGTACTAAGACTCCTCTATGCTTATGTAAAACACAATGCTCTACGAAACCATGAGTTCCTCCATGCACAGTATCATTACATATACTACATAACGTTACAGCTTTCGAACTTACTCGGAGTACTTTCAACTGTCTGAACCGAGAGATGTTATCAAAAAAGGATGTCGTGCTAACATCATATACTGTTTCAAAATGTTCGGAATGTGTCCTAACTGAGATGGAGATGAACACATATGGTACATGGGAATTGCTAAGCCAGAAGATTCATATAAATAATGAAATAGATTACTCACTTCGAAATCCACCTCTATATTTGAACTTGTTCTCTTTGATGCCCCAGCGTCGTAAGCTAAAAATGCTGTGTTAAACGATTCATATAACGAAACATACGATAAGAAGTCCTTCTTTGTTTCAAACAGAGGCTTATCTCCTTTTGTGCATGCTTGATTCTAAAAATAACTGTTTCCAGAAGAGAACCAAGAGCTCACCATGGCTCGCGACATTTTGTGATTCATTAAGTAAGACGCCACAGTTATTCTCATAACATAGGCTTTTGATTTGAGTATTTTGAGAATGAGTCTCTGTTTTTCGGCTAAATTATTGCACATACACACTCAAGAGAAAACTGTCGTACCTAAGCCGGACTCATAGTCAGGACGGTTTTTTTTATTTTGAGATAAAATCAAATGTTCTAGTTTGCGAATATCTTCTCGCATCGAGAACGAAATTCCGTCTACGGTTACTGAAAACCAAACGAATGAATATATAAATTTGAAGAATCCACACAAGCTATATTTGTGAAATCGGTGAGTTCCCTAGTACTCGAGTTTGCCAAAGAGATATCCAAATTATCGATATCTTCTTAACATGGAAGTTATGATAGAAGAAATTAAGGAATATACCGCATAAATCATATTTGGCATTGCAATTGTAGATGTTCTTCGTAATTTTATTACAAGTTGGACATACTACTGTTGGATCTCGTCCTATTGAGGTAGCAAATATACAGTTCCAGCAGAATATATGTCCACAGTCGAGAACTTTTGGTATTTGAGAATTTCCATTGGAAAGCTGGAAAAGCGAAATTGATATTGTTGTTCCAGAAACTATGAATAATATTTCTCTATTGTCCTTCATGTGCACTTTCATTTTCAAAGTTTTCTTCTGCCACACCGGTTGATAGTCACCAGTTCGATTAAAACCCGGCAGCCATTTTTCGATGTTACTATTCTTTCCTTTCTGTCATCCTATTATACCGAAAGTGGAATCAAAAACTAACTGTAATGCAGAGAGGACAAAAGTACTCCTTATGAATGTTTTCTCGTCGATCCTTGCTGTACTCGCTATTATTTATTCGAACATCTACATCGTAGGACGTTTTAACGATTAATTGCTCCGCGATAGATGCAATATGTTCTTCCGGAGTTTCTCTTTCGTAATCCAGTATGAATTGAACTCTATGAAGAATACATATAAAGATATATATCATTTTACAAATGTATGCTAATGAATGAGTAGGTGAAAGAGATAGGAGCCAGGTACAATTATTTTTAAAACCATAGAAAGATCAACTATTAATCGAGTTTCAAAATTCCGCTATATAAAGCAAAGTAATATCTGTTTGTTTTCAAAAACACCGCACCAATCGATGAGGCGTATGCGAAGAAAATGCCCAATAACATATATTGATACGCTCGAGGCCTGGGCAAATTGGTAACTCCATTTGCGACGCGGCCCTTGCAGCGTCCTGGTTAAAGTGAGTGCGTGAGGTTTATAAATCGATAACAAAAAGTTGTATGCTATAACACACACTCGGGATGCTGAGAAATAAGTCATTACAGGGCTTTTGAAGACTGTTTCTCACAAAAATACTTCTTGTAGAAGTAGAGACACGACTTGTGAACGCTGCGACAGTCGATGGAGATGAACCAGACTCGCAAATAGCTCTGGTCTTTCGTGACCAGTTCTAGCGGATGTCGATGCCTCATGCAGGCTCCTCTGACTGCATCGCATCGCAGATGCCTACTAGGCTATATAATCTATCTGTTATATTATGCAGAACGAATGACACGTGAAAGTAGGGTCTTCGAACGGAGGCTCGAACTTATTTATAATGTTTTAATCAAACGGTCATGTTTTTTGTTTACGTCAACCTTTTGTTTGTTGGATCATGATAACAATAAGATAAAGGGAGCGAAAACCTTGCCAAGATCTTGTCTCAACAATTGTCTTTTGCTTTTTATACCAATGCTTTTTCAATCTAATTGTTTCTTAGTTAGGACGAGTTTTGAAGATAACCTTCGCATTCAGCCTCTTTCATGCCTTTCACTTTCTTTTTTGCCATTGCATCTTCCGATTCCATGCGAATTCTATCTTTTATCGACTTTTTAAAAAAATTTCATAAGTTTCGCCAAGTATTAGAGGATTTTGCGATATTTATTTAAACAGGTGTTTTCTTTAAATCCATTTGTTAGTTCGTGCAATATGGTTCATTCCCAATTCCTCTAGTGTCACCTTGAATAGAATAATTTGCTGTTTTGAGTTTTCTGAAGATTTTTACTGAAAACAGATGGCCTTAACCGTCCGTTTCACTTTTCCGGACAAACTTCTTAACAATAACTTTTTTGTCGTTCTTGAAAGCAGTTTTCAGAGTTAATAATACCCGATTGTTAAAGAGTTTTTTGTTCCTCCTTGCTAAAGAATCTCTTTTTCTTAATTGCCGTCTAAAGGTTATGGAAGTTTTTGAAGACAACACGTTCCTTAGCATCATTTTCAATTAGTCAAAAGAAAAATGTTTCGTTCTTGTAGTTTGACTATCCCTCTTTTCATTGTCACCTTCCCGTAATTGGTATTCAACGATTTCTTTAAGCACAGTCCTCATCATCGTCAACTAGGCCCTGTGGCTGGGCTCTTAAAGCCTTTTCCTTCTTTATCGTGCGATGAAAGGCTATGCTTGTTTTGTATTTTTAGTTTTATTAGCCTTTAGCCAAGTGAGTTTTTTTCACTTCTTAGATGAAACATACAAATCTTTTCAGTCTAAGCGGGTAGAGAACGGGTATTCTGATGGATACGTTTTTTTAACTGTTCGTAATACCAAAACGGGTACCGAACAAGAAGTTTGTGCAAACTATCTCCAGTTCAGAAGTCAAAGGATATCTGAAACTGCTGAAAAAGCTGTGAGTGATTTTTATCGGTACGTCGGTCACTTTTCATCTTCAGGACTCATATGGTTTGGGTTGGTGGCGGAAAAATAATCATAATATTAAAAACGCAACCAGGATTTGTCCCCTGAACGATAAGTCTGAAAGGAGGTATGAATCTTGTACATGAGCGGTCATTAATACTACAATTTTGAGGTTTCCTAATCAGATTGTACCTTTGAACTACAGAATTGACGATGATGGTACAGAATGTACTCGTCCCTTTAACGAAGGAACTTCTTCGTTCAGAAACGCCACACAATTTCAAGTAAAAGTTGATTCATCAGATTGAGTTGATCATCGTTTAACAGGTTAATCAGCTCATAAAACATGATGCGTCGTCTGCTTTGTTCCTCATAGAACGTGGACGGAAGTTTGTAACCAAATGGAGAGACTTCTTGGTTTTTTTCTCACTACATAGGAAATACTTATTTAGACCTCTTACAGTTTGCCGATTTCTATGATCCATATGTGAATACGACGTTGCCCACCTTTTTCATTTATTTGGATGTGTTCGAAAAAATTGTGGTTAGATCACAAGAGATTAACAGTCTAACTTTTTCTTCAGAGTAAGGAAAACGCAGGAGAGGATTTGGAGTTCCTATTCCATCGTCCTACCGATAGTGCGTTCGACCTGTCCATGGTTTTCATTTGGTTGTTAGCTATGGTATGTGTGACAGGAGGAGGAGCATGGGCTTTTGTTAGGCATAAGTAAGATATGATTTTTTTTTTAATTTTCACACCTCTTTGAAGAGCTGGAAAAGATAAGAACCCACTTCAAAGTTCACTGAATGAGAACGATGGCCCGCAGACATGCTGTGTTCGTTTTGCGAACTCTTTAGCTATAGCTACACTAATGATCTTCTTGGTTGCCATTTTGATGTTAGGTTTCTATTTCAGACCTCTCCTAGGTAAGTTCCCGTCTCCTTTCAATTGTACAACTTCTTTCAGTATTTGTCTTTAATCTTCTGTTGATGTTATTCGGGTCCTTCAGTGTTTATGGCTGTTTGCAAGCATTCCTCTCGAACTTCCAGTGCACTAAAAGATTACCGTGTTCAACAACAGTTTGTTCGATGTTCCCTGAACTCGGTTATTGAATATAGAAAAGTTAGGAGCAAACAATGATATCTTTATAGGCTGTATCTCTCATAGACCTACGGTTGGAAAAATCATACTTTATACTATATCCTTCGTATTATGCCTTTGCTGGTTCATTTTCCGTATGACACCATATGCTTTCATACTTTTGGATCTTATAAATATAACTTTATGCCTTCATATCCTCAAATCTCTACGTCTACCCAGTCTGAAAGTGAGTTTTCAATTGTTATTTTAACAATACTCATCATATGGTTATAGTGGATTTCTACGCTCATGCTGTGCATGTTCACCTATGATGCTATCATGGTTTTTGTCACTCCTCTATGGACGAAAAATGGATGCTCTGTTATGCTTGAAGTAGCTACGGGAATCGATTGCTCTGCCAGTAACAACATTGGTTATCCAATGCCACCAATTGATGCTAACTTACCAGAGAAGGTTCCATAACTAGAACGATTTTTTTCATTAAACAGCACTTTTTAAGTTCCCAATGCTTATGCAAGTCATGCATTTTGATCCAATGATGAAATGCATTGATTTAGAGGTTGAAAAGGGGTTCCAAATGACTATATTGGGACTAGGCGACATTATAATTCCAGGCATGTCAAGGATAGCTTGATCTAATCAAATATATTGAAGGTTATCTTGTTACACATTGTTTCACAATGAACGGATTCGAAGAAAAAGCAAGACTAATATATGGCGTTGTTTGTGTTATAGGTAAGAAGCATAGAGTTGAAGCTAAATATAAATTTACCTTACAGGCTATGGTGTTGGGTTGATCATGACATTTATTGCTTTAACAATTATGAATATGGCGCAGCCAGCATTGATATATCTCGTTCCAGCAACGCTGTTCCCCATTTGTATTTTAGCGTTAATTAGGGGAGAATTCCAAACCATTTGGCATGGTGTTCCAGACAATGAGATTAAGTCAATTGTAATTTACCTAACTCAACTATTCATTTAACAAGCTATTTAAGGGTGAAGTTGGTCCTCTCGGGATTCCGGAATCAGAAAGCGAAACTACCAACGAAGTTTGAAACTCACATGGTCGCGTGTTCAAAAGCATAAGTATTCAATATGAGCTTAAACTATTAAATATACTATCGTTTTAAACCTTGTAGAATTTATATTAAAAATGTATTTCTATTACCAGAATTCAAGAGAAAACAATGAAAATAACAATCTATTAAGAATATTCTAAAAACCAGAACCTCCCAGGCCGGAAGAAGACATTTCGTCTTGAAGACGTTTCTGCAACGATTGGGATACTAAATTCCATGTATCCATAAATCGGTCCATACATCTGAACTTATATATTCATTGAATAATAATGAAAATGAAACAATAACCTCTGGAGACATTGCTTCTCTGAGCTGGAAAGAGAAGTGCCGGGACTTGTTATACATTTCTGGGTACATTTTTCAGATAAATCCTGTAAATGATGAATACTTTCTGACAACAGAGGAAAAAACATACCGTGATTAAATTTTGAGCATTACTGATAGCAGCTTGTTGTTTCACACCAGCAATAACTTGCTCTCTTTGTTCGGGAGATAACTTCTGAAGTTGTTCCAAATCTAATAACTGGTCCATCTGAATATGACATGGTTAGCAATCAGCACAAACGGAAGCTTTCAAAAGAAGATCAAGTGAATACGACTGAAACGAATAGCTTTTGATTCAGCTTTCTAAGACAGGCCGATCATAGATTATTTAAATCATATTTCCAACAAGTTATAACAAAATAATACAAATCATTACCAACTGTATTAACAAAGAATGATCAAGGTGAATTCAAACTAACATGCAACAAGCGTAGTGTGTAGGAAAGTTGGTCTTCATATTGCAGCACAACTTTTGCAGTAGAGCTCGTTTACTCGGTCAACGCAATATCAAGTACACCAGAATGGTAAAGTAAATATCAGGCTGCTCTCAACAGGTTAAATGTACAACTATCGAACTCACGAATATTTATTAGTATAATATAGTAAAAATTAAAAGAATATCGACAACTTTTAGTTGTCAAAGTACTACGCGATATCTTATCCTGCAAGTACTCTTTCAACATCTTAGTATCCTTAATGTTGATAAGTGTTTTGGCCACTGGTTATTTTTATGCAACCTTCGATAATACCATTTTTGAGAAAACACATTCAATTGAAAGATTTTGGATAACAAATATCTTCCAATTTCCACCCGTTTCTTAAAAGTCCTTGTAGAACTCCCGCACTACTTTTTTCATGAATACATGGAACGAATCAAAAGATCGTCTTCATCTGAATCATCTCTCTAAAACATAATTTTTTAAGTTCAGGTTTCTATATACTTTTTTACCGATACAAATCCTCGGCGATTTCTATTCAACGCACGTCTTCTGGCTCGCCTTCGAATAACCATGAATACGCAAGCAGCCAAGCACATAAAAATGAGCAAAGATACAGTTATGTCTTTCTTAGACAACGTGACATAAGAGTTTGCTGGAATAATCTTTGATTATCTCTTCACGAAATAGAAAACCCACCGCTGCTGTTAGTGGTAGTTGTCGTTACTGTGGTTGCTACGACTGAACTTTGAGTGAGTTTGTTCACTTCTTGCTTAGTGTCTTGTGAGGGGTACCGATTGACAACGTTACCATAATTGTTCCACTTAGGCATTTGATTCATCCTGAAAGAATATGAAATTGAAACATTTCTAGGAATCTTATGAAATTGCCTCATCTGGTTACAATTCCATTCATCACTCTCATCTGCACACTGTGCGATTCCATCACAAATATCGTAACTTGGAATGCATTCCCCATTTCTGCAAGGCCATTGCCACTCTCCTATGAAGTACATATCTTTTTATGCTTATTTTAATTCGATAACTCACTTGGGCACTGAGGGACTACGTGTTGCTGAAATCCACCATTTTGAATGCGTTGACCCATCTGCCCTTCCATCTGAAAACATCTAGATTGATGATAGTAATCAACATTAGCTATGAAGACATATTCTCATCATTTCAAAACAAGCAACGATTCTAAAACTATTCAACCCCGTGACTACGCGAATCGTTTTTCCCTCCTTGAACTATTACATTTACTGAAAGCTTTTTATTGATACCTTCCTCTTCATTCATACTATCAGTCAGTTTAAGTACTAAAATTTTTGATTTTAACCTTGGAAAACTTACTTGTCCATAAGAAATTTCTGGAATGAGCACAAAACAGAATATTAGCAGCATGTTGTGCAGAGCCAAGCTGCCTATGGCCATAAGAGAAAGAAGATCGATATGGAGAAAGCCAGTCAAACGCCCATCTACGTCCTTCACCTCGGGCAATAGCTGAAAGCAAGAAATTATTGTCTTATCACACTGAGTGGTCCCTTATCACGGGAGTGAATCGTACATACCATTCATTCATTTTTCGAACACTCATCAAACTCGACTACATTTGCTCAGGCGCACATGTCAATCTATTTTCCAAGAACCTTCGTGAAACCTTCCGAGCAGTTATTGGTTTCTACTTTCATGCTTGCTCACCGTTCCCTTCTGTAAAAGGTAGGATGGGAATGCGATCTTAAAATGAATCCTCAATTATTCACCATGAAAAAATCTTCAACAGCATGAAGTAGCAATTGAGATCACCACAAAGTAATGCACAGATGAACTTGCTAAGCACAAGAGAAGAACATTTTAGCTTCAACATTGCTCTTGATTATTTCCAATTACGATTTGGCGATAATTTTGGGACATTTATTTCGGTAGAACAATTCGAATGTATAACCTCAGCCTTAAACATAAATAGAATAGAGAGATTTGATTCTGCCAGAGACTACAAATAATTAAGAAAATCCGTGGAACAATTTTAAATCACAGTTTAAACTTTTTACAACTTCGGGAAAAAGACAAAAAAACATTAATGCAAGACCACCTAGGATTATGGGTTCTCTGTTATTTACATGACAATATCACCGTAATAAAAACACGACAGTCTAACAAGTAGTAGTACGTAGGAGTATAAAAAAGCTCCTTATTGGAAAAAGGTGAGAGTAAGAAAAGCATATACAAAAAGAATTTATCCTTCTTGACCGAAGTCGTTTTTGAACTGTTCTAATTTATCCAGATCAGCTCCATTGACAGTTGGTTTGGAGGTCATCAGAGAGCGCACTAAATCTTGCTGCAAATAGAAGAAGGAATAAAATAATTCAAAATGATAGCCACACCATTGCTAGAACTGGTTCCTGCAGTTTGTCACTAGGTACATCGAGCCAACTCATAGGACGAGCATCTTTGTCTCCAGGACTACATGGGGTGAGCAAATCATGAACTATTATATTTTTGTCGTTGGGAGAAGGACCACTGACATATCTTAAGCAAATTATTACGATGATGGCTCACAACATCGAACATACTTAAAGTGAGTTGCTGATTGCACGCGCCGAATAGGTTGCATCAGAGCATCCTTAACCAAAATGCTAATATCATAACCAGAGTAACCATCGGTTCTTTCAGCAAGTTCCTAATATAAGCATCAATTCTTAATTAGTAGAGCTAGGGTCAAACCTTATAATTTTCATCTGATAGCGAGTTCACGTTCTTTCCTATCTCCAATCTGAACATCTCTTTACGTGCCATGACTTCCGGCAGAGGAATATAAATACGCTTTTCGAACCTTCTATAAACAAAAGATACGTTACTTTCCAGTTTTGATGGCACATAGAAAGATAGGAGTAAACGTGCCTGCGAATGGCAGCATCCAACGCCCAAGGAATATTTGTAGCCCCCAAAACGAGGATACCGTCATTATCCAGTCCAACACCTTGCATTTGCACCATGAACTCGGTCTTGATACGCCTAGCACTTTCAGATTCATTGTCACTTCTCGCTGAGCACAATGAATCAATCTAAAAGAAGCAGTCAACAATAATTTTTTTTGTCAAACTCACTTCGTCGATGAATATAATAGAAGGCTTATGCTCTCTAGCCATAGCGAACAAGTTTTTTACCAATCTGAGAGAGACAATTTGAATTAATGAACGAGCCGCCTTCTCACTTTTCCGATTCTCCCAGCCATTTGGACATCAGATCAGATGAAGATACAGAGAAGAAAGTTGAATTGTCTGCTTCAGTAGCGACAGCTTTCGCTATGAAAGATTTACCCGTTCCAGGAGGTCCAAACAAGAGAATACCACGCCATGGCTTGCGGTTCCCTGTAAAATAAGAAGAATCAACTTAATCCCTCATCTGAAACAGTCAGCTGAAATCATTACACTCATTGAACCATTTGTCCCCAAATAACCGACGCTTTGTTTGGCCTACTCCTCCTTCAAATGGGAGAAATTGACATGCTCAAGTATGAAACCTCACATAGATGAGCCCTACATCCGAAATTTCTATATTCCTCGAGAGCGTGGAGTACACAAACTTGTTGAGAAGATTGTAATCAAACTTCAGCTACACCTCTCCGTTTTCATCATTATTCACAGCATTCACATGTTGTATATCCTACCCCTCCGTCCCTCTCTTCTTTCTCGCTCCCTCACTCCGATGAACATTCTTATTTCACATATCCATCGGCAGCTGTTTGTTATGTATGTATGTACGTCTGAGTCTCCGCACTACATGAATCGATGTCAATAGCTTCGGGCTTGCTAGCAAGAGAGCTTCTCTACCTCCCTCACTCCATTGCTGCTGCTGGCACCGCAGGGCGTCAGAGCAACTGCCAGCTGTTGGGGCTCGTCGCTCAGGAAATCGATAGTAGGCCTCGAGGCGACTGAACAAGCCTCCAAAACTATTCCCTCCACCTCAAGCCAGACGCGATGAATTTATTCAACATTAACTCTTCGGAGATAGAAGAGAAATACTCGGATTTACCTCATCAGTCCGAGCCATCACCTATTTTAGCATTCATATTCGCTGGCATATCGACAGCAGGTGTTATCGGGAATATCGTTCTTTTATTATACATAATAGTCCACAAACTTTACCACAACTTCATCTCATCCCATTTCATTGCACATCTTTGCTGCACTAATCTGCTTACTTTACTATTCCTGTTACCGATATTCATTTATACAGTTTTCACTGGCCAAAATGTGTTCGAAGAGAGCCAGCTTCTTTGTAGAGTACAAGTGAGCTACCTGGGCATCAACGCCACATTTATCACACTATTTAGGTTCTCTTCACCTGTACAGTCTGGACTGTCATGACATTGATGGGATTGTGCATTGCAGGAGTACATCTTCTTACTTTTGCCCGTATCCACTACGAGCAACTTTTTGGTCTTGCTCCCGGAGTATTATGTGGGCTCTCTTGGCTCATTAGTCTTTGCCTTGCTACTCCAGCCATTACAAATGGGCACATTGTCACCTACGACGCTAACTTAAGACATTGCATTTGGTCTCATTCCGACTCCGGTCTGAAATTTCTGACATATCTCCTGTTCTTGGGAGTATTCCTTCCAGCATTGTTCGCATCATATGCCTACATAAGGGTACTTGGCATTCTCTACCATAGTCCTATAGTCTTTCAATCTCTGGGATTATATAAAAGCCGCTTTTTGGTCTACGCATTTCTCTTGAGGTTAGTTACACGCCATTCTATCGAATAACTCAAAATGAATGTTGCAGCCCTGTGTATCAAGTCCCTTTTTATTTGATGACTTTAATCGATGAACGCGATCCATGGCGAAACAATCTTAATGAAACATGGCCAGCCATTTGTACTTTCTTGGCTTTTAGTCAATGCTTCCTCTCCCCTGCGCTATATGGAGCAAGCCTGTTCATGATGAAAGAAGAAGATATGGCTTTAACTGCCAGGACGCACAAGAACAATCCCCAATACCAGCATGTTCCCACACATTCGCTCCAAGCCCAACTTATCTAAACCTGGTGTTGTGGCAGTATCTCCGCAACATGTGATTACGAACCCATCCCACATTCTATTCCTACATATTTTCACTTCAATTCAAATAGGTTTTCCAAACACGAGTAGATAAAAATATAAATCTATAATACCTGTGAAAAGCTGGGGGAACTTGATAGGCAATATTACAGCTTCCTTCAAAGCTCCTTTCGCAGTTTCTAAACCGGCAATGTCAGACCACTTAACGTTGGGCTTCTCCATTACAATAGCACTCGCTAATTTATCCTGAACCAACATATTTGCACCTACAATCTACTGTACAAATAATACCTGTAGCTTTTTTTTATCTGCATCTTCGTTGTCTGAATCACTGCCATCCTGAACAAATTGTAAACAATTAGTAATAAATACATTATTCAAGTTACCTTGACAGGTTTTTTTTCCTTTTTAGGATTTTTCAAATGATCCTTGATTTTCTCAGCACGTTCAACGTATTTTTCGCATTTCTGCCGAATTGAGTCCTTCTGTCGTTCCCCTTGAACTTCATCTGAACACAAGCTACAGTCAAATAAACCTATATGGAAACTAACATCTTAAACTATGTAAGAAGTATTCAATGGATTGTAAGTAATATTGCAAGGCTCTCTCTAAATTGCCCGTTTTGTCCTCTTCTGTTGCTATATTCACCAGTTCGATCGCTTTCTTAATCAAAACGTCAACCAACAAACATCTTCGAACAATTACCTGCAAAGACATAGATCCCCTATCAAATTGAAAACCTGGCCAATCTGGAAGAACAATAAGGATATTTCATTATGACTAGGCACCGAAACATAAAAGGAAATCAATCAACGGATAAATCAATGACTGAGAGAAATGAAAGCGATGATTCACACAAAAAATTAATTTTTCAAGAAATTCGATCAATATATGAGTAAGAAACTGCTAGCAAATCATCAGGTGGACCATAACACTTGGCCGTAAATTTTAACCGAAGATACTGCACGGGCGTTCGGCTGAAAAGTGTTGTGCAATGTACGCAAATGAACGAAAAGCACAATCAGTGTCAATCGTTTGATATGAAGACTGTCATCAATAGAGCTGGTACTCAGGTCTACCATGCTCGGCTACCTCACAGGAAACAGTTTTGGTTATTCACTCCAGTTTAGGAAAGCTGTGATTGAGCAAGAAGAATGAGTCACAGTTGACATCTGCAAGATAAAGTAATGTTATCATACTTCTTCTATTCATACATCCGAGGAAACTCAGCTGACACTCTGAATCTCAATGCTCATTTCGTGCTCAAATCAAACCACAAGCTTTGAAAGTGGCCTAAATCAGTTGAGAACTTGCATATTCATCTCAAGGTATTTTCTGCTGACGCTGTTTGCTTGATGATGCTGAGATCTGCATACATTCCCATAACATCAATGGAAAGACCAAGCAAATTTAGTGCGAGTCATCGATGACAAAGCTTGAAATAAAAGTTACATAAAGAGAAATTCTGAAGTACTCCTATATGCTCAGCATACTCTCAAAACTGTTCATGACTAAAACCAAATCTATTTCTAGCAATGGGGTAGAGAAAAATCGGATTGGAGACTATGCATATTAGCAAGATAATATATTCATAAATTAGTGAAGTTATAAACATCTAATGCAAGCTCAGCACCCCTATTTAGCTTGAATCTAAAGGCGCTCTCAACGGTGACTCTTCAATATCTTTTAAACTGGCGCCATTGGTCCTGATACGCAAAGGCGCTCGCGACTGACCCGCGTTGCGGTCCCAGCAATTGGAGCGGCTTCAGGCAGTGTGTGCCTAGCTGGTTTGCTGGTAGATGCGCCTGATGGGGTGCGTTTCTAGCGCCGGCGCGGACGCCGAGGGTCGTGAGGCCAAGAAAGTTAACAAACAGATTGAGGAACAGCTTGCCAAGGATAAGCAGGTGAGTTACAGTCGTGTTTTACGCTTCTGAAAAGTCCGGAGCCGTGCGAACACCGGTTGCGCCGGGAGTTGCGAATTTGGGCTCAAGCAGGTGTATGCGCCGGCCCGTTCCTTGTCGAAGTTGTTTAGCTAATAAATTGATTTAGGTTATGCGAGCCACGCACAGGTTACTTCTCCTAGGCGCAGGAGAAAGTGGGAAAAGTACAATAGTCAAGCAAATGCGCATTTTGCATATTGATGGATTTAATGAAAATGAAAAACTGGAAAAAATGAAAGATATTCGGCGAAACATCCGTGATTCTATGCAGGTTTGTTTACTATAATAAGCATAGATACAAAATTAAAAGAAAAGAAAAATGATTAAAACATATTCAATGAGATTCTTGAAATTATTGGTTCATGACCTTTGAAGGAAGTGATTATTGACTGGAGCTGTGTTATAGTTTAACGCTTTATTCTAAATTTGTTTCATGTTTTTATATTTTATATAATTTTTGGTTGAACTGATATTGTCCATCCTGGACATGTGATTCATTTTTTTTGCTAATATTTTCGTAGTTAGTATTGGTAATCATTACCATGCTGGATCCTCAGGTCCATTGTGCTACTGAATTGCAGCGCAGCTTCGTTGAATCTTGTTTCGGCCTTTAAGTTATTTTAATATCACAATACTCTCATATTTTCCCAAAAATATATATTTTAAAAATGGAATCGATTGACAAAATGATGCATGTTCGCGTTTGAATGTGTTCGTAATTGTAGGTAATTCTGCGAGCAATGGATGAAATCGACCCTCCAGTGTCGTTAGATGACCCCAGTTTGGAAGAAAGTAGGCAATATATTCTCAATATACCTGCAGATCCTGATTATGATTACACAGCGGTAAGCTACATTGATTAAATTTTATTAACTTTTTCGGCTTTCCAGGAGTTTTATGATCATGTTAAAAAGTGTTGGGCAGATAAAGGAGTTATAAGCTGCTTTGAGAGAAGTAGTGAATATCAGCTAATCGATTGTGCAAAATAGTATGTTTCTATTTTGTTCTATTTTCTTACATGTGTTTCTTCAGTTTTCTTGACAAGGTCGATGTTGTACGGCAACCTAATTATGACCCTTCTGAACAGGTTAGATTAGTTTTAATCTTCTTTCAAGAGTTTTACATATTTTTTGTAGGATATTTTACGATGTCGTGTTATGACTACAGGCATTTTCGAAACGAAATTCGAAGTAGACAAAGTCAGATTCCAGTAAGTTCTTTGGCTGTTTTTTGTCTTATTTAACTGAAATCATGTCATTATAGTATGTTTGACGTTGGTGGACAACGAGATGAACGGAGGAAATGGATTCAATGTTTCAATGATGTAACAGCAATCATTTTCGTTTGTGCATGCTCTTCATACAATTTAGTATTATGGGAAGATGCTTCACAAAATAGGTATTCTTAACAGTCGTAATACGTATGCAATTCTTTCCTTGCAGGTTAAAAGAGTCTTTGTCGCTATTCAGGAATATCTGGAATAATCGTTGGCTTAAAACCATATCCGTCATTCTCTTCCTGAACAAACAAGTACGACTTTATTTAACATCACTTTTAACTCTATGTTTCTAGGACTTGCTATCTGAGAAGATCAAAGCTAAAAGGTATTTGCTAGAATCATACTTCTCTGAGTTTGCTACCTATCAATTGCCTTTGGATGCTGTTTATGATCAGTCGGAAGATAAAGAAGTTGTACGAGCAAAGTATTTTATCAGAGGGGAATTCCTGGTGAGTAACTTCAATTTCAATGTTTTTCTTTATTTTCTGCTCATGTTGCTAGTTTGTTACATGTAATTGATTTAAAGGTTTCCTATTTATTTTTTTATAGCGTATTTCAACAGCAGCTGGTGATGGTCGACATCATTGCTATCCCCATTTCACATGTGCTGTGGACACAGAAAATATCAGACGGGTGTTTAATGACTGTCGCGATATTATTCAACGTATTCACCTTAGACAGTACGAGCTATTGTAGTTACACCAGCTTCCTGAGCTTTCTCTTCGTATGTGCTGAGTTTTTCCTTATTATGTTTGCTCACCAGTTACTTTCTTGCCGATGGCGCACTCCATTGGCTCACTGCCAAGTAATTCCTTTAGTCCGTTGCTTTAGATGTTGGTTTGTCCCGTTCTGTTGTTGCAGGACAATCCCTATACAGTTTTGATCTAATCTAAGTCAATTCAATTTGTTCCTGACCCCAAGGATTACTAACTCATCTACTTACCTCTTAAGATTTTAACGAGTTGCCTTTAAATCACATTTTGGAGATTGGCGACTTTTGAATTTCAAATTTCAATGGTATATAACGTTTAAATATATAATATAAGGTTATTGAGCTACAATTTGGGTAATATGGTACCGTTGAAGCTTTGAAGTTCTTGTCAGGCGAACATTTGGTTTCGTCAACCAGTCACATAACACCAAGCCTCTATCATTGCTTGACTTTTTTAAAATTACTATTTAGTCATATTTGCACTCACACAAACTTTAAATTTCAATGTTAGCAGAATGTAATTCTTTAACTTGCCTGTCTTGAATACTAGATATATGCATATGGGTGCGTATTTACGCATTACCATATATGTTTATATCGAATACTTTATGTGTATATTAGTTTATCGATGTTCTGATCGTTTTATATTGTCTCATGCTTCTAGTTGCTCTCAAGACATATGCTTTACTAAACGAACTATGTTCGCTTTATTATTTATTGTCGGTATGGTCAATTCTAAGTCATGTAGATCGTTCAACTAGTCTGCGAATTCGCTCATTCTTTTTTTTTGTCTTGTATGAACGAATTCGCGCCGTACCGTATTTAGCAGGAGACAGTAGAAATTGTTTCAATAAATATTCATAGGCCTCGGGTGTTACACCAATGGCACTAATTTGTCACTGCAACGTGTATTTAAGGATTTTGAATAAAGTTTAATAATTTCGCCTCTCGCTTTTTACAATCACTTTCCCATTTAACATGTGTTGTAAGGGAACCGGTATTGGCATGATCGACTATAAACATCTTCGATTAGAATGGCGCACGGTCGTGTCTATAAGGTTAGGAAGAAATATTCTTCACTTTCTTTTTTTTCGCAATTTTTATGTAAATGCTTGCTAATTTAGGCTTTATTAGCTCTGAGTATACTCATTGAACTGCTGTTCTGCTCAGCTCTGTTGGGCGTCGTGTATTACCAATATTTTGTTCAAGATACTGGCGTCAATTATCTCCCATACACGATAGTTATTGGTGTCTTTGTGCTACTCTTTCTTATCTTTGTTATACACACTGCAATTTACATATTCTTCAAGAAAACAGAGAGACTTATCACTATTAATATAGTCCTTTGTGTAAGTTGCACCAGACAAATCCTCGAAAAAATCTCAAATTAGGTCTGCCGACTATTGGTCGTGTTCATTGGCGCCATCACCCTCTTTTCCGAAGATAACTTCAGCATAGACGACAAACGCTTTCCAGAAGATCCTCTCAGTTGGCTCTATCGTAAGACTGAAAATCAACACCAATGACTATTGAAAAACTATTGCAGACCGAAAGATGGTAGTCATTGGAGGAGTCGTCGCCTTGTTTCCAATTTACATTCTTCAACTGTTTGTGCTAAACAGGTATTTTACAACGGTAATACATAAAACAGCAACGAAAATTCTAGGTGCTTCTCAGCAGAGAGAAAACAAAGTCTTCAATAAAAACAATAATTTATTAAGTGTCAAGATTATGACGAACTTGGAATTTAACAAAATTGCCACATAGCGTATAAAAAGAACCATGCAACTTTCAAAACTATACAAAACTAGTAATCACCCATTTGGCAAAAACCTTACAATGATCAATGAATAGGCCCGTCACAAACAACAGAGATTGAATACAGATTGAAGGACACGACAATTGTGGAAAACTGTCACAAAAGCTTTTAGAAACATCTCACCGGCTCAAAGTCAGCAATCACAATACTATGCACATTTCGGGATCAAAATAAAACAGTTTACTGGTTTTGGGCACTGAACGCGGTGTCTCTGTTAAAGTTTCTTCCACGGTTGTTGTATCCATTATTTCTATAACCATTGTATCCTCCGTTCTGGTTGCCGCGATAACCACCATAACCACCACCTTGGCCTGAAGAAGCATAGATAAACTCGATTAAAAGACGAAACATACCATTGTATCCACGGCCACGACCACGATTTCCAAATCCGCGACGGTAGTTGAAAGATCTTACGGCTGAATGTCCAAACGTCTCTTGGTTTGTCTCTCGTTCCTTTCTCCAATCGGGGCGGCCAGACTTTCCTTCGGCTTTTTCGAGAGCCTCACAGCTGATGCGATCGAAGAAGGAATTTTTCTTATCATAGTATGAGCTCTCCTCAGTCTTGGTAGCTTCTTCTTCTTCACTCTTTTCACCACTTTCGAGCTATAAACTCTAAATGATTAAAAAAAAACTTCCACAGAACTTACCTTAAGTTTGTCCCCAAGCATTTCACATAACTGTTCTTGGAATTGCTCATTGGCTTTTTCGAAGTCATAATCGCCCTCGTACTTCAGTTTTTCCCTTGTGTTGGTTCTTGGACCATTGTATCCGCGTCCACGGTTTTGGTTTGGATATCCACCTCGGTTATAGTTGAATTGACGGTTACCTTGATGGCGGTTGTCGTTTCCACCTTCAAATAATGAGTTAAATTACAAAAAATGAATGAAAAACACAAACCTCGGTTGAGATTTCTTCCAGATCCAGGAGCTCTATTTCCTCCGGAAGCGAAGTTAGGGCTATGACGATGAGGAGTAGCTGATCGAGTAGATCCTCCAGACACCTTATCGTCAGGGGCAGCTCTGGTAGAAACAGAAATTATAGCGGGGTCATATGGAAGACCGCCAGCTAAGGGAGCCTGAAAATCGAAGAATAAAATTAGAACACAAGATTATAGCACCTTTGGGGTTTCGCAAACAATAAGGTCCTTAATATCACTGGCTTTGAAAATGATGTACTCATAAGTATCATCACGAGGGGCAACAGGGTTGGCAGTATTACGATTCTCAGTTCCAAAAGACTTCACTGTAACACGAATATAGAAAGGTCTCAAGCTCATCCGTACCTTTTGCCAGAGCGATAGTTGAATCGTTGGTATCAACAGTGTACAGAATACCTTCATATCTGATATCTAGTTTAGAGATCAAGCTAATTTTGCTCCCGATGTATGGAGTTTGGTTGGACATGGCTAAGGAAAGCGGAAAACCACCCTATAAGATAGCCAAAAATCACTATCTAAAGATTAACGTAACAACTTTTCAATAAAGTTTACATGAATATATGAAAACGAGAGCAAAAGATATAAAACCAAATGTGAACATTATCCGTACAGACCACGTCATTGTTGAACAACTAGATCTTTAACTAATTCATCACCGGTACTTGTTTACTTCTTGGCAGAGCCTTGCCCAAAGCATGCAGGAGTTAAGGTACCTCAAAATCTATTAAGACATGAACGCCATCGATGAGTGAAAAATTAACAGCACTTCAAAAATATCGACACGCGCGCAGACCGCTCGCGGCAAAATTACACATAATGCTATAGGAAGCAGGTTCTTGAAACGAAATCTTCGAGGATTGTGACAGATTTACTCACTCTCAGCTGTCTCAAGGAATGATCAATTCTTCGGATATATATGTTAGACTTTGTATTCACCGCAGATAGATCAAAATTAAAGTACAATCGAATTTTTTTATTAAAACTGGTTTACAGAAAGATTTAATACTGATTTCGGATTTGATAAGAAGTTTCACAAAAATTGCACTAATGTTATCACATGCTGATATATCTACACCGATGAGTACCCTTCAGGTTAGGAATAAATGGTACGATCTTATGAACAATATTTATAACCTTGGTTCAAGCACCTAATTGAAAAAAACAAACAAAATTAAATTAAAATTTAGATAATCTCTTATCACTTTTTGACTAGACCACGTATACAGACTAAGTTATTATAACTGCCAGTTCTCAGCGAAATCGACAAATAGCGCACTCTCCAACCTATCTATAGCTTCTTTATAAGTGAGGGAACCCGTGAGGAATGCAAGATCGCACGATTCAATCTTAAATTATGATTATGATTATCACTGTATTCTCAGATCGTTTACCTGAGATACATCAGAGATTTGTTTACTTTGAGTTGCTAAAGCATAGAAAAACGGCCTCAATTTATCAAAACCTGTCAACACTTTGATCCCGCCCAGGGACACAATCTGGCTACACTTCTCTTCATCTGTGAGCTTCCCATACTGGAATAGAGAGCAGTATCACTTTTTTCATTTAGTTGTGTCTGACCTTGTTTTTCAGCAGCTTGTTAATTCGACCAGCGAAAGGAATGAACATATCAGTTTTATTAGCGGAAATCGTATTAATAAACGCCCAGTGGCACCTAAATTTGAATTAATTAAAGAACCAGATAAATAGTACGTACATTTGGAACTGTGGGATGTATCCAGCCGGAAGAGTGCAAAGAGTTTCCAGTAACTTGCATGCTGCCAGATACAGTTGAAGCCAAGCATCATCTTTAGCACAGCTTATTTCATCTAGTCCATTGTTCTCACCACTGAGATGCTGCTCCATTTGCAATAAAACATGCACCTATAGAGGATTGATACACCTGAGTTATAATATAATGCTTACCAGTTCTGTGATCATTATTGGCCATATTCCTACCAGAGACTGGGGTCGAAGTCTGATCAATAGAACTCGTAAACATAAGAAAACTGCTGATCTTATTGATGGTGATTGAGATGCTCTAAGATTCTCTGAGAGGCGTTCTAGAGTTGGAACTATAATTTCATTCATAATTTTTGATGCATACCTTGAATATCATTCATCTGAGCTTGGTATTGTTCCAGTTCAGATCCAAATACAACAAATGCTAAGCGTTTCAGTGACTGAGCTCGACCTTCATACTCTTGTTCTTTAGAAGTCATAATGCTGAAGGATGCATTGGGAGTATAAGCGATACTTTCTGGAGAGAAAACATGAATATAAATGAGAGATTAAAACAGAAAATACTCAATAAATCTTTGAACGAAGTCTTGTCGTGCGTCATGAGATGATCCGTTACGACAAGCCATTGTCTCAGTGATTGGTGATCCATTTTAAAGAAAGCTAAAACGTAAATACGTAAGTCATTGTTGCAGAGAACATGGGATATACATGAATCCAACAGAAGCTCTAACGTCGTTTTCTTCCAGACTGGGCGCATATAGTTAAAAGAACTCATGGATGCCAACAACTGCGAAGAGGCGAGGAAAAAACGTGCGTTCCGAGCACTTTTTGCTCGTAGATATGGTACGACATTACTCCACACAGCATGAAGAGTGGGTAATAGCTTTTCCTTGTCATCACTTTTACAAACCGAATCTACTAGTTCAGTAAGGTTCTTGAAAAAATGAAATGTAACATGGGAGATATATTTACTCTAACCTGCGCTAGAAGGAACAGGGCCTGAGTACTGTGAGTAGGATCTCGTTTATTGTTATTTGTGTCTTTCACTGAACCTCTCAGATTAGAACTACTCTTTTTATCTGTTATTACGGCTGAATGAATACTTCCGCCTACATCAATAGAGGCAGGTCTGAAACTTATATTAATACTACTTTCTGCGAGTGGATGTTCACCTGTTTATTAATGAGAGAGTTGATCCACGCATTGAGTTTTGTTCCGAAGACGTTATCGATGGTGCTGGCGTATTTACAGGGGTGTTCAACTCTAATGAAGGACTCGCATCTTGTGAGGAAGCTAGAACATAAAATTAAAAAAAAAAGCTGTAATGTATTGTACATTGGTCTTGTTTGACAACAAGTGTTCGCTTCAACCATGTGGTAGTTTCCAGTTGCCATCCAACTATGACATTGACAGCCTCAGTCATTCTCTGCACACAATCTTGCACCGCCTTTGATAATGATTTGTCTTCGACTATATAGGTAACTCCACATAAACGTATAAAGTCGCACAAAATGCTGAGAAGACAGAATATGTTACAAAAATAGTATGTTGAGCTTACATGAACAACAAAAATATTGCACGGGGTGGGAGATGAGTGAGAGGAGCTTCGGAGAACAATGTTTGTAAACAGGTCCAACACTGTCGCATTTGAGCTATAGGTAGTGATCTTATACAAGCATGAACCAATTCGAGTAAAGGAGCTTCAGTGGGGAAAGTTGCCTGAAACAAAGAGGTCAAACAGAAAAATAAACTTGCGCTACCTTATCAGCCTGCGATCCAAGTTTTGAAGCCTTGATTCCAGCTTCTTTCAATGACTCACACACAGAAGTCATCAACTCCTCGATAGTAATAATTTTGAGACTTAACAACAAGTTAGCGACATCCAATTGCGAAGTTGTGTAAGTGAAAGACAGCTGTTACACATTATTACATGACAATTTTGAATGCGTATGGTACCTGGTCAGGATCACTCTTTCTAGGAGAGCTTCCACATGCAGATCTAGTCAGCCATACCAAAGACAGGGCTTGAAGGAAAGCTTGTTGATGGTTTTGAGCAATCGGAGAGAGTAAGTCGATAACTAATCGTCTTAATTGCTGAAAAAAGTATTTTTGCATCGCATATTCGTCATATCTCGTACAGCTGGATTTCCGAGGGGGAGCTTTGGGTTCTCTCCACTTCGAACCACACTCCAGACATCACAAATAGTGGCTAGACAGTGAGGTAGAGAAGTGAGCATATCATTTTTGGCTTGTCTCCAATTGGGACCTCCATTCTTAACAACCTCCATTTTCGATAAAGCAAGACTGTTATGCTGAAAAAAATGCATTGAAGATGAGTTTCGGAATCAACTGGAACCGATTGAGACTCGCTAAAACTGAAAGCTTTCACGATGTTAGTAAATAATTCCGTTGCACCTTTGGTACCGGGTATGATGGAGATTGCCTTGAAAAAATATCATAGATACGACATAGATCCAGTGCCTACCTGCCCAACCATGCTCGTTGTTCCAGCCGTAGAAGTAGTGATTTGTGGAGGATGAACAGGGGACACATTGGTTGCCGTATCAACAACACAGTAATGTATTAACGTTGTCAAAGCTTCCATAGTCTGAAAGCGAGTGATATTTTCATGACACCTGAGAGAAACTTACTGAAACCATGAAATGAGCAGGGAAAGTGCTCATGTGTTCGGAAGACTCATCAGAGGGCATAGCCTCTCTAGCAGATTTGAACGATTTAGACATGGCTATATCAAGATTTTTGCACAACTGTTCTGCAACACGTACGACAACAGTCGCTAAAGATCTGAAAACAACTATTGAAACAAACCAAAGGAAATATTGAAATACCTCTCCATCCAGGGTAGGATTTCAACTACAAATTGGAACCAAATTTCATGGCGATCAGGATGCCTCTTGAGTGCATTCAATACGATAAGCAAGAAAGCACGAAGCTCAACGAGTGAGGGATGGGGATCTCTTATTGTTAAGCGATGAGATGCAGTATTGTAAAGTTCCTGGCTTTTAGATATTCTTTGATGGATCAGGGCAGTTGGACTCTTAAATGATTATCATAACCATGAAATAGTAAGCAAAAATTACGTTTTCGCTAAAGTTATCCAGTCCCATTTTTATTTCGTACTCTAGTCGAATAGCTTGAGCTGTGAAAGCTAATAACGAGCGGTTATATGCAGAGAGCAGACCAGACAGTCGCTTTCTAGAACTTTCACTGAAACCCTCATTGAATTCGCTAATGGACACCGAGAGAGGTAGTCTGAAAATTATTAGACAGTTGAAAAAAGCCGTTTCGTATCTTACGTTGCTCCCTTTTCTACTCCAGACTTGGGATCGTGAACTGAATAGAACAGTAAATGAAGTAAGCATTTTTGCAACTTTGCACGAGAAAGAATTGATTGAATGAAGCTCGCGAATGGTCTTGAATGTTGCTCAACAATCATGTCCGATATGTCACCAAAGAGTTGACTCAAGAAATCCAGAGCAGAGACTTTACATTTCCAGGCAACAATGAGATCACTGTCAGTAACAGGAGAAACGGGAGAATTTAAGAAAAATGAACGCAAAAAGTGAAGTGATATCTGAAAAGGTATCCTTATCTTATGTTATAATAAAAACACTAACAGTTATTAGTAACTCTAAGAGAGTCAAATGACGATGTTTTATATGATCATCTTCATTGCTTCCCCAGAAATGCTGCCCCAAAATTGCTCTAACATGCTTAGCCATCAGATCAACTAAAGAACAAGACAATGAACTCGGCTCTCCAGATTGTGAAGCTGTTCCCGAAGAAACAAGACAGCTAAACGAAGAAATTCATATTGACGACTATCATGGAGAACTTACTTCAGTAACATTCGGTTAGATACAGGAGCAGATCTTGGACTTAGCAAAGCTGTAAGAATTCGGAAAGCAGTCTCTGCTCGTCCTAAGTCAACTACTCGTCCACTCTCGCCATATAAAAGCATATGTACATGTAACTCATGGAAGAGATCGAGATTTTCATTCTCCGCAGATGGTCTCAAAAGATCAGTAGCATCAAAAGCTCTGAATATATCCAAATTCATTAGTAATGATTTGTTGTCTTACTTAAGCTCTTTCTCGGTCATACTGAAAATACTCTCTTGTAGTGAATCCTGACGACGGTGTCCTTTCTTGATTCTGTGAGCAAATGATCAAGAAAGGGTCAGTTATATAGTAGATACCTGTTTACGCTATCACCAGATTTTTCTTTGCTTTCGCTTCGAGCGCCAACCAAACCAGGAGGTTCATTGTCAACATCAGTAGATCCTGCTCTGAAGACTACAGGAACATTATCATCAGGAGCAATTGAGTCTTCTGTAGCATCAGGATACTGATGGTCCAAATCAATTTCATTGCTATCATCCTCCACAACACAATCAATTAAATGTTGAATTGTTTCAATAACAGCAGGATCTATTCCTTCCAAAGATAAAGACAACGTGTCAAGAGAGTCCTGGAATTTAATTGAGTTAGTCAACAAGCCATTATGCTCACCGTATCATCATCAAAATTAGGGACATCTCCATTCGCACAGACTGATGGAGGAGTTGTATCACTGGCTGTGTTATCCCCATCTAATTTAAGCAATAACCGATTTCTTAGTTCACCATGCCAGGAACTAAAAAAGTAAATCTTGAAGGGTAACAGTGGATCTTTCGCACTTTTCGAGAATCGACCCTTCTAAGTGATATAAACGCTGCTTTCCATCAGCAGTAACCAAAGTAACAGCAGAAGCGTCAGAGGGTAAGGAAGAAAACTGCTCACGAGTTAACCTGAATGGAAAGTTTAAAATAAATGCTATTCTTCTCACTTCGATTCCTTCCATAAATACTGGATGGAAACACGGGCAGTAGCAGGATTCATCAGCATCGTAGAGAGCATCTGAATACAGAACTCAGAAATATAATATGAAAAAAATTGCTAACTTGAACTATTCTAGGCAAATCATTATGATTCGCACAATCGATAAACCAGGAAACTGCGACACTCTTTATTTCAGCCCTACCACGGGAAACCGATTCATCTGCCAATACTCCTAGTAGCAACATAACAGCCCTAAACTTCAACTCTAGAGAAACTCATGAATGAGATTTACCTATGGAACGGTTTAGTCGAAACAATGGAACTTTCGCCATCAGTTAATCTAGTGAGTGTCCAAAAACGATGAAATGTTCTAGCAGCATCCGTACTAATCACCTGGCAAAATTTTGCAGTTGAAATATTTTGAGATTAACGAGCTACTCACTTGGTCGTTATTAGTCAGGGATGATACAATAATGTTTTCAACATCACTGCTCGCTTCACTCAACTTTCTTGCATGCAAAAGAGAAAGGAGCTTCGCTAATCTACTATGTTCGGATGCATAATATTCTGAAGATAATCCCAGCCATGAAGCCTGTGCACATTTCTGTAAAATCATAAAATTCGGTTAAAATCAAAAAACGAAACGAAACCTCAAAAAGCTTCAAACTTTCAAGAAGATTCAGATGGTATTGTGACAGCAAAGGTTTCAACAGAACAGTTCTTGTCATTATACCAACCCTGAGAGAAACACTATGATCTCAAAAAAAACAAAATCATACTCGTCGTTAGATGGGGTGACAAATTCAGCTTCTCTACCACGAATATCACTATGTTGAGACAGCACTGATCCAGCTTTGATATACATGGACACGAGCATTGCTAAAGCAGTTGTACGAGCAGGAAGATCAGAGCAGTTTGTAGATGTCATTTGTGTCAACCATTCATCCGCATTGATTACCTCCAAATATGATATTAAAGTAAAGATTTGAGTTACTTACATTCAACAATTGTTCGCACCACTTGGGTAGGTCAGATGGCATGTATTCATCAATGTTCGAACAGAATATAGGATACTCGGCGAATTGAGTTAATAAATCACAAATAGAATAAAAAACTGGTAGGCGATCTCCAGTCCGATCCAAGCAGTAGAGCTCACAAGCCGAACCTAACAGAGATAGACATTCACTCAAGCAGGATTCAACTAAGTATTGATCTAAAAATATTTAGAAACTGAATAAGGAAGGTTTAGGCATTTGTTAATACCTTTAGCAAAAGTATTGGTATTTGCAGATGCTCTTTTCACTGGAGTAGAATGAGCAGAAGCTTCTGAAGCTTCACCTGAATAATGAAAAATCAATTCTGAACAATGGTTTAACACTACCATCAGTTTCAACTACAGCTGGAGCACTCATAGATCCCAATAACTCAGTACATACTCCCATGATTTGAATAACAGCGTCTTTATGAATCAAACAGAGTTTGCTCTTCATCTCAGATAAAATATTATTAAGTAATTGTGGTATATACTTATGTCGAATATCTGTTTCTGTGTCCAAAGCACAAGATCTCAGACAGAATGCAACAATCTAAAGTTAGTGGATGACATCTGCTGGTGTGAGCAATCAAACCTTAGAGTATTCTATCAAAGATTCTAGGGTAGGTTCTTCCATATTCTTAGAAAAACATTCCGCCAGAAAACTCCAAATGAAGCCATTCTCGAGAGATCCTAGAAGAACATTAAGCATTTTGCTCATTTCCGTTATTCTTCTCTCCTGTAAGAATCATATCATTTTATAAATCATAAATACCAACTTACCAAAACAGAGTCATCTTGCTTGAGTGATGGTGGTTTTGGAGAAAATCCTTGAGTTGAGTTTAACGAGAGCCTCATAGCACTTTTATCAAATATTTTCTCTTCGTCAAGGTTCTAAAATACGACAATAAACAAAGCTACTTTTAGGACTTTTCACGTTATCCACTTCTATATTCTTCAATTCAGGATGAATTTGAGCACAGCGTGACAATAACAACGGCAACACTCTATCCAAAAGAGGACGACCAATGTCTGGTCTATCTTGTAAATATGTTAGTAGCCGACACACCCGGACTTCTACAAACTGCTGCTGATCAGCGTCCTATGAAAAAAATGAGAAAAAGCTGTTCATCCGAAGTTACCTTTTTATCCCCCCATCCATGAGCCCAATTATTAGTTGAAGACTGAGGAATATCAACCGTATCAAGTTTCAAATATTCATGCAACGCATCAACAGTCATTGGAAGTACAGTGTTTTTGAAGAACGACGATTCAAGCCTATCGTCTCCAACAGGGAGTCCACTGACAGCAACCGTCCCTCCTATACAAACTATATTACGAATGTACAAATGTATAGTGAACCTGTAGGTGAAATAAGCCATGTATACAAGCGTCGATTCAAAGACATATCTCTTCGTAGGACAACAAAAATACAACGTTGTAAAAGCTGAATGTGGGGTATAACATAAATAAATCCGGAGAATCAAACCTGCACAAAATCATCTTTTGTAAGACTAGTACTATCCAATGGGAAGGCAGCGCAAAGAAAATCTAATAAATATCTTTGAACTAGAGGAGAACCCGTATCATCAGCGGTCGCGGAAAGAGCAGAAACCTAGAACAGCATAATAAATACAAAACATTAAATATGAATCCACACCATATGATTTATATGATCCCCAATTATGTACAGTTGATCATCAAGACTTCGTGACTTATCAAATTTCACATTTACATATAACATAGCGGGAAGACGAACTGAGGGTGATCCCAAAACAGCTTGCCACAAGCAAGCAAAAAAAGAGGCTTCTCCTACACCGTCACAAACTCGATCCAACAGTTTTAGAGATCTAAAAAAGGATATGACAGAATAAAGAGTTAGCTGACCTATCATAGAACTCTGTTCCTTCTTCTAAACCAAGTAATACGCCAGCTAAAAATCCAGGTAAAGCAGGCCTCAAGTGTTGATTCATAGGCACCAAATACTGCTCAAATAAATTGAACAACTCAGTTTTAACCTAAGAAGAAAATAATTTCAGACTAAACTTACTATTTCGTTACCTTGATTCCACAATGATCCATCAAAGGAAACAAACCAACAGTAAATAAGTATAACAGTTTTGGCAATTGAGGGCCTAAGATGTCGAAGATTTGACGGTAAGTTTCCAGCGCTTTCAAGTGAACTCCTATTGAAATCTTGAGATGAAAAGAACGGAATATAAAGTGTTACCCATAGGAAGAGCAGGATGGAGGCATTGTGAGAGTCGCTTCGCAACTAGAACAGGCTTAGGAATATCACCAAACTTTGCATTTGATTGAAACACCTTGAAAAAGACCAATATAAACGAACTTCAGAATCAACTAACTCTTGCTAAACGGCCTAACGCAGATATGAGGTCGGCCCATTCATTGGGATTTTCAAAAGTTCTTAAAGCTTTGTCGACCGCCTGTACGTATGTTTTGTATTTCCCACTACTATGCACTGGGTTATTAGTAGAATTTTCGACAGCAAATCCACCTCCAGAAGAAGCCGACATTAAGAGCTTCCTGAAAATTTGAGATTAGGGAGAAATTGATAAATTATGACTAATAATCGTTGCGTACAAATAAGGACAATGTGACTGAAGTACCTGACTTTTTTAGCGCGTACCATGGGAAAGATTCATGCAAACAATGCTAGCTTGGACACGATAGTGTCACTACAAATGCGAGTATGATTCAATCTCCATAATCGATCGGAATTGAATCAGCATAGAGTCGATCAAACCTTATAGCGATGATGGAACCGCTCAATGTCCTTTTTTGACCGCACCATTTTGAGTATTTGCTTTATTTGTCCTTTTCGACTTCATTTCTGCGCTTCATTTCAGCTCATGTCAACAGACTTATGCTTCTAGCAATCCAAAAATACGTTATCAGATGTTCAATTGTCATTTATGAACAGGTATATTCTCTTTTACCCTAATTTCAAAACTAGAAATTCAATAATACGAGAGAATTACTGCACTTATACGCACGCCTATGTGATAAGCATTGGGCGGAAATTGATTTTACTTTTCGTCTTTTTTATTCTAATATATTAAAGCGCTGTTTTACCAAAATTGATATCTGATAAGAACTTTGGAAATTGAGAGAGTAGCCTCTGCTTTTTGCCCCGCCCATTTAACCATGCGCGCAATATTTTGTTTTGCGTATTTTTTGGAAAAGATATGAAAGTTTATGCAAATCAGGAGAAACATAAGTTAAAACTAAACTTTAGGCTGAATTGTTGTATTGTTTTCATCTTTTTTTCGGGAATTTCAATTGTGGCGCACTTCCTAGACCCGTTCGCAATAAGATGAGCAACGTCATATTGACCATGGTTCACATATTCTACGTGACTCTAAAGTTAGCTCAGCCAGAACAATATCAGCTCACAATGATCTCAAATTTTGAACTGTAGAAGCCTTCTACATTATGATACTGTCATCTGTAATAGGAGCATCGAAGTTAACATATGTCCTTCACAACAGTGTCACCGTAATCGTGAGGTAAGTCAAAAAAGTTGCTCTAACACTTTGGACCATTAGCTCTGAGAATTGAAATATCCTATACGTGAAGTGGTTCGACTTTCAAAACAAATGGGGATCTGTTTTAAACGACGAATACGAAACTTTTGTGTTTACAGATGCCACCTAACACCCATTCTTTTCACTTCAGTCTACTAACATGATATTTCCCTTTTCTGATTATAGTCTCATCGATTGCCACAATCATTTTGGGACTTCGAACTTTTCATCATAACACTCACTCTGTATGCGTTCCTCCATTCTTCCCGAATTCAACTCTCACAACCAACGTGGTTTCCTTTGAAGTCGAAAAAAGGGTATGAATAAAGCATTTAAGCTCTAGAGCCCTCAAATAAGGTTCTCACTCGGGTCGACTCTTCCATCAGGCAGCTCTTACGGCGTTCATTACCGGAACTTTCCTGCGAAATGTCTATTTTTATAACAGTTATTAGTAAAATGCAGCGCGCGCACAATCAAGTAGGTGGAGCGTAAATCTGGAGCTATAAGAGATCACAAACGTGTTACCGCTTATCTTTCCCATGGCAAGGCTACTACGATAAGGGAGTTGAAAGCAGTATGAAAAGCACCTGACTTGAGGAGATAAACAAATTTTAAAAAAAAAGATAAAAATTATAAAGGCTAAAAACACACAAACAATGAGTAAACACAAAGACTTGCAGAAAAGGAAGAGAAAAAGATAGAGAAAACAGAGTCATTTCGTAAAAAGTGAACACTGGGCAGGGATGAGGATTTTTGTACAACAAATTTACGGAAATTTTGAATATCAAACATGCGAATGCAGCTTAATTTCTTTGAAACTTGAACGAAATCCATATAATGGAGGAGGTATGGGCGCAGCACGACGTATACAACGTTGTATTCAGCGTACAACAACTTCGCTGACTACCCTTAATGCGCCAGTATACACTATAATAGTATTTTATGATGGATTATACATCCAATAAATAAACTAATTTTGAAAATTTTTTATAGATAGAACTGCGTGTTTATAAAGTGTAAGTAGGGCGCAAGATACTGCATGATTTCAGAAGGTTTCGAAAAAGAAGGAAAAAATAATAAAAAAAGAAAGTGAATACAAAAGCAATCTGATTCGGAGCCCATCCTGAATATTGTGATGATGAGCGGAAAGTCATCGAACGACTAAGGCAACACTAAGGGAATAGAATCAACCGATATGTTCGAATGTAACATCAAAAATGAACGTGGTCGTGGCATAGATGACGTGTGATTCATTGAATTGCGAATCCATTTCTTGTCATTCGAACCACCGAAGTGGTTAAGTTTATTTGCACACGAGGTAAATACTTGTTCATATGGAAATGTTTCACGGAATAACCTCTTCCTTTCAATGGTTTTAAGGTTGCTATGGATAAAGAAACAAAAAAAACAACAGATGGAAAATCCCAAGCATCGTCGGCAAAGGTTATTAACAAGAAAATCAATGTACAGCTGAAGCATTAGTTTCGCAATTACATCTAATTAGCCCGTATTGCGATTTTAAAGTTTTCTACGAGCTGTACATTCCAAAGGCATAATTTTTGATTAGTCATAAGTTATGCAATTTAGAATATCGTAGAAGTTGACAAGCAGCAAGAGAGTCAAATATCTGATATTTATAAGACTTGTGTTTTCTCTGTCAATTCAACAGAAGAGAGGCCGGTAATTATTTGAAACATTGCGTACTACTAACCATTCTTATGTTTTTTCATAGACAGGTGGACTTATTTCATTGGATGGCTCAGAAGAGAAAAAGCTAAATGTCAATGGCACGAAAGAAGTAAGTGAGGTAGCTAAGAAAACATTTTGACATAGCGAGGGATACTAGACATATGCATCTATCGGGTGGGAAGGCCAATATGGAAATTTCTTGAAGTTTCTTTGCTCAGAAATGCTAATTGGTATGCTTTCGGCTTGACTGCATCTATTTGAATGTAGAAGAACGTAGTATTGTAAACTATGATTTTAAAATTTTGACGTGTCTCTTCAAGAGTAATGCTCTAATTTACTGAACTTATTCAGACAAACGTATCAAGAAAAGCGCGAAAGTCATCAAGGTCATCTTCTCGCACACAGTCATTGAAAAAGGTTTAACATAGCAGAACAATAATTTGAAAACTTATTAAGATTCCTCGGGGCATAATAAGCCATATAGGATCTCTTGAAGACGAAGCATTCTACCATGGCTATTTGTCTCGAGAAGCTACTGAGAGACTTCTGACAAAAGATGGGGAGTTTCTGGTTAGAAGAGGAGAAGTTCTCAATGAAGAGGTGAAGTATATTTTTGTGTTTTCTTTATTGTGATCTGTTAAGTGTTATCTGATCAGTGTGCGTCATAACAATGAGGTGAAACATTTGAGAATCCTGTTGACAAGAAGTGGCCGTCATTATTGGGTTTCTCAACTTTGCTTCGAGGTAAGCTTTTTTTACTAGTCTATCAGTTTCAATCAATTTGATACAGTCTGTGGGTGAGTTAATAAGGTACCACCAACAAAATAAGTTGCCTGTGCACGGTGACAATATTCTCTTGCAATATTTCGTTAAAAGAGAAGTATGGCAATTGAATCATGAACAGGTCGAATATATATTTTTGTTGACTAAATGAATACAATTGAAGGTTACATTAGGAGAAAAAATTGGTAGTGGGCAGTTCGGCGAAGTATACGCTGGTACTTTAGCTCAAGGTATATTTACTCGTGACGTCAAAGTTGCTGTGAAAACTTTGAATTCTGGTCATTTGTCTGCAGACGACAGGTCAGTTACCGCGAGGATTCCTAATAGTTGACACGTATCTGTTCAGAGTAACATTCTTGCAAGAGGCAAACTTAATGCTCAAGTTAAAGCATAAACATGTTATCCACTTATATGGTGTTGCGACGCAGAAAAAGCCGATTATGATAGTAATGGAATTAGCAACAGGTTCCCATATTCTCCAATCCTCGAATTTTGCAAGTTCTGTATTTTATGTGGTAGTCTGCTTCAACGAATACAAGAGAAAACTTCTACTATCGAAACCAAAAGGCGATATTGTAAGGAAATAGTTAGTGGGATGTCCTACGTAGAATCTCAACAAGTAACAAATTACCATTCTTTATTGTGAACGATGTTTAATACTTTTTATTTTGAAGGTTATTCACCGCGATCTTGCTGCTCGTAATGTTTTGCTAACGAAATCAGACTCTTGTAAAATAAGCGATTTTGGTTTATCGTTGTTAGGAAAAATTCACAAAGAAAATATGCTGAAAAATGCTCCTGTCAGGTAGTCTATATTTAATAGCAAATTCGAAGAATTATAGGTGGCTGGCTCCGGAAAGCCTTTTACAAGGCTGTTATTCTTCGAAGTCTGATGTCTGGAGCTTTGGAGTAGTTATGTATGAAGTGTTTTCAAACGGAAAAGTTCCTTATGATCAACACGACGTGAGTTTTCTCAATACGATATGGACTTCATGCGTCATCAACACAGAACTTGAAAAAATTAGCTACAGCGGTTGTTAAAGATGGTTTACGTCTTCAGCCCCCAGAGGAGATGAGTGAGCTTGATAGATCTATCATGCAAATGTGCTTCGCTAAAAATACCGACGACAGGGCTTCGTTTGAGGATTTGAGAGAGAAGTAAGGTCTAGTGACCAAAACGCTTATAGAAGTTAACTAGATTAATTTCACAATTTTTTGCAGGTACAACTCTAATAACACAACTCATATCATAAACTCCATATTGAAAACGAAGAAAAACTGAGTAATCGGAAAATGTCTTTCATGGCCTCCTCATCAATTTGTCTCGGATTTTTCTCTTTGTCTCAACTTCTCCTGGATGGATTTCCTCCTTGATGCTACTTTGCTGCTTTGTATATTTAAAAACTGATCTGCTGCTTCTGGTTCGTCTGGTATTTGGGAACACAGATACTTTGTTTGAGGAATATTTCCGAATACTGAAAGTTAGTGTTTGGATTTCAATATTAGATATAGAGAATCACCTTCGTCACACAACTCATGTAAACAATGTAACATGTTGGGAACTTCATTTAGTTCACACCATCCTAGTTCCTGCAAACAATTTATAGGAGTCGGGTTGGCCTTCCACTTACCAAGCTACATAATCTCTCGGGGCGGGTTACAACTGTAACGAATCTCATAAATCCATGGTATTGATTAGAGAACCAATTTACACACTATATACACAATGAGTAATATATAGTTTTGAGAAAACTAACTCCAGAGTATGTGAAACCATGAGGAAATAGAGTATAATTATTGGGATATCCTAGGTCTTGACACAATTCGGCGCATATATTATGGAACAGTGACGATTTTAGGAAGTCAAGGAAACTTTCGACTGCTTTCGGTTGTAACAAAAAACGGTGCTGCAAAATAATTATAGCATTGTACCATCAGAAGGGTTAAACCTGTATAAGATTTGTAACAGTCATGCAACCTGAGCATTTTGCGCACTCCAGTCCGGCAGTTATGTTCAGAGCTTAAAAAGAAAAAGGATGACAGATTTTTCTTCCTATACCTTTGTTCTCGTAGTTTTCGTAGCAACCAGGGGCAATCATAGAACATATAGCTTTTGGTGACGGGATTTGAGAATACAAAGCCCTTCGCAGCATCTGCTCTTCTTCCTTGAATTTATCAAAATTGTTATTTTTCGCTTCAAAAAAGCTGTATTACGCTCATGAGGAGAAAACTAGGAGTGAACAAGCGTTCCTGAACTTCTGTCATCAGGCTATTACAGAAAGCGCAGAATGGACCTAGACATCTCTATCAATTACGTCAATAAAAAATGGATTACCTGGCTGTCTTGATGCGACTGTGGCCACAAACCCGAAAAGCTGATGCTCTGTGATAGAATTCAAATCTTTCATTTGAGGACCATTACATACTTCCTCCGGCGATGATAAATACATCTGAACATTATCGGAATACAACAAACTAGAACGTTCAGCTAACATGCATGCTATCATGATAGTTTGCCACTAAATCAGTCTCGACTTTCGTATATAGTGGGCTAGAAACGAACAGCGCATCTTGGAATAATAGAATTTACGATTGCAAAGTTCTCTTTCAAACCTTCGAAGTTGTCTTCTGCAGATTTTTCGATATTGGCTCTGGGAGCATTAGTTATGACTGGCTTTGAGCTGGTCATTGGTTGAGGATTTGTTGAGCTTTCTGTATTATCAGATGCACTTGACGAATCGGAAGATTGAGTAAAATCAGTCGAGTCTGAAAAATCAGTCGAATCTGAAATATCGGTGGAACCAGTGTTGTAGGATTCAGTTGTCGAAGGAGCCTAAGTTTGACAGTTACAGTTATCTACAAATCTGTTGAAAATATTACGGATGTTGTTGTGAACATGGTGCTATTAGGTGTTGGACATGGCTCATGTGTAGGTTCATCGTCCAAACTGAGTGGAGTGTTTTGGGAAACAAGAAGCCGAATTTTATTTCTGCTATCATCTAATCTGTTCCTCATTTTCAAATGTTCTTCGTGAACCATTTGATCTGCATAACTAACCAGAACATCTCTGCCTCTTTGAAGTTCTAAGCGACAGTGTTCACTCTAAAGATAAACAGATTAACCAGAAGCTCGGTAGGTATTCAATAAATTATGTATTATTAATGATATGGATAACTTCCAACATGAGAAATGAGAAATAACCCACAAAATCTAGTCCTAATGAAGTACTGAGATATATTAGACATATTATGCTGAATAATAAACGGCTTGAATCCATGCTTAATGATCAATACGAAAGAGCAAGAAGGAATTCCTTATCTTTTCCATGTTGGTTTCAACTTGATAGCTAGTTGGAAGATAAGTAGCGTCGCTAACTGAAACTTCGGTTTTATCATGAACATTCCTCCGTAATTTTTTTTGGTGAACGTGTTTTACTGGAAAATTGCTTTCTGATAATCTATATGCTCAAATTCTGTAAAACCCCAAAAGTAACCGTATCGTGCGTATAGTAATACGTAAACCCAATCATCATCAGTGACAATGTTCACGACGTGATCTTTGTGGTTTAATAATGGATGGTGCCTGCTTTTCAATAATCACTAACTGTTAGATGGTAAAAAAAACACAAAATATTTTTGTTGTGTTGATTTATATTGATTTCGTGCCATTATCACATGTTCTTCTACTTTTTCAATTCATTTCAAACTTTTTTTCGAACAACTGACTTTCTCTCAGATGGCACAGCATATGACGTCTTTAAAAACGTGAGGCTGTTTAACCAAAATTATCAATAATGTGACTTTTGTTTTCCTACTCTGCATTTTTCTCTACAGAACTTGCACAGGTTCCAATTCTTCTAATGACAATTGCTTTCAATTGCTCTGTGCGTATGTGTGTGATTGACACTTCTCTGCTTCCTATCAATATGTTCAACTGAGTTTCGAGAATTGATAGTTGCATGTATCAGCGGTGAAGTTTGAAGTATTCACTTCTCAGGATATACTGACGTCAATGTTTTTTTTGAACAAATAAGACCATCTGTTCGTATGTACATCTTTATTATTTACTAAGAAAAGACAAGGAGAAATGAAAGAATAAAGTGATATATTTAAACAGGTGCTACAGTCACAGTACTGAACTGATCTCACATTTTCAGTTGTGAACAGTTATTATGAGGATTTATGTACACGAAAACTAAGCTAGATCGGGCACCAGGCCACAAAGTTGTTGGAGGGAAGGGCAATTTCTGCTTGTCCTTTAAGGTTAGAACCGTTATCAAGCCTTGTAGTTCACATGACATAAGGCATGATCATAGCGATTTTAAACCTTGTTAATTATGAAAATGCAGGATCCTAGCTGCGTAAGACATAATAGCTATGCGATGGGTTCGTATTTTAACAGCAGTACATACAGGAAAGAAGAGGCTTAAATAACACAGATTCTTTTTTAGGGCTGTTCAAACACGTATACGACGTCATATGTTGGTATGCAAATTGCCAGCAATATGGTACAACATATTGAACGTCGCATAGTATCTGAACATTTTCTTATAATTTATATTTAACTATTTACAGTGTTGCTAATCAGAGTACGGATGAAAAGTCAATGAACTAAGCGAAAATACTGATGAAACTAATCCGGCTGATTACAACAATACTACATACATGATCATTTGATTGTGAAAACTGAAGGATGATTTAGGCAAGGTTGTTGCACTTTCTATCGTTGTTACGTCCAGAGCTCATCTTTCCAGCTTTCTTTGATCGACTTTTAGTCTTAGTATCAGAATTTACATGAGATGCTGCAACAGCTCTCTTCATTTTTCCGGCGGACAAGAGCTCCGTAGTGCCGGAGCTCTTCTTTGTTGGCGCTTGTAAAGTAAGTGGTGACTCCACATCAGCAAACAACTGAAACAAAATATGAACTAATTGCGTTTGAAAACAGCACTACCATTCGTTCTAACTGCAACCTTTGCGCAGCTAAGGCCCTTGCTTGCTTAAGCGCTTCAGCTCTCTTAATCTGATCAGCAGTTGGTGGAGGCGACTGTTTTCGTGAGGAGAAAGATAAACTATCGATATCCCTAATATCGGGATTGGGAATTAACACAGGTGAACTACGACCAGAAGCTAGATCGTCCACTAGGTACCAGTCATCAGCGGTAAAAGCATCATCCTTGCATGAAGATGGAATCATATTTTCTTTAGCTACCTGAACAATAGGAAAGAAGTTGGTAAAATTGATGAGCGAGTCTTACAGTGGCATCGTTTGAGTCTTCAGATCCGAAGATGTAGTCATAGATTCCGGTAAGCATTGTAACTTGAAGGATGGGAAGTAGGGTTGCGAACAGAGGAGAAAGCCTGCAAAACATAAGTTTCATAATTAACAACTTTAGCTTCAATACGAATAGAATGTAAGAAAAACGATATGAAAGTACTATCGCTATAATAATCATACTGGATAAAAGAAAAATAGAAATGTCTGTCCAGTAGGAGCACCACGTGGTTCAATTTGCTTTGACGGTGGCGCAGTATTGGACACACCATGACCATCATCAATTCAATTGGAGGGTGGGAAAGAGTGTGAGAGACACAGAATAAGGATGATGAAATATAATGTACACTAGAGAGTATGAGAACATGAAATTAGTAAAGCGTCAGATATGTGTGAGGAACCAGAACTACGAAGAGGCAGACATATAGGAATAGGAAAAGCCATGAATAATAGTTAGTAAAATTCGATAGATGTTACATTAGAAATAAGCAATGATCCTTGGAATTGTATGTTAGAATCAGAAAAGAACTCAACGATCACCACTAAGAATGATCAAAGTTGTGGTGGAGTGGGAAGGAAAAATGTTGTAGAGAGATTGAAGAACACATGATAACGGAACTCAAACAACGGGGCAACATTTTCCCCCAAAATAAGTATTTACAATTGGCCAAGTAATAACTCGAATAAGGAAGAAACTAGTCGTTGGCCTAGTTTACATTTCATATTTAGGATGTTTCAATGCGTTAAACATGATTGAACTTTGACTAGACTTTACAATGAACACGTGCTTTCCTCTTTTGCTCTCGCAAACGATTTCTTTCTAACTTCTCTATCTCATTTTGATTCTACTGGTCTCCTCCTCACTTTTCCTCCACACGTCGTCGTGATTATCCTCGTGACCTGTGTATCTTCTCTTTTCTTCCTTCTCCCTCTCATTTCCACTCACTCTCATTTTTCATGTGATGACGTTAAGCTACAACACAACTTTCACACAAAATATTCTATTTTGGAATATTTTTGTTATTAAAAGAAGGAACAAGAAGAGGCTACATGATGATCCAATGAACCATTAGGTTGCTCTTGGCCTCAAATCAATCGAACGACCATGTGTCCTAGCAGATGGTCCCGTGATGACGAGAAGGCTGAGCGCTTGAGTCCGGATTTATCTGACCAACAAACATCTCATTATCCACACACCACCGATCTACAAAATAAGGCTTTCGAGAGAAAGAAGGTTAGCAAAGAAATAAGGAGAAGAGCAGACTATATAAGGGAAAAGATAAGATTAGACGTTAGAACGTTATTAGAAGAACAGAAACAGGAAGGAGGTATGAAAGAAATATCCTCATTTGTTCGAACCCGTTATTAGTGCAGACCTTTTGAAGACTTTTTTAGGAAGGAAAATAAAAGATAATTGAACATATATAGGTGTGGTGACAGTTTCAAGGTCTTTATTTGAATACTTAATGATCTTCTATGGGCAATAATCTTCATTGGGAATATTTTTATCAAGTTCTAGTTTTAGACCAGAGGAATATCATCTAACCCTTGACAGGTCGCAGCTAATGTAAAATCAAAAAAAGGAAATACATTAATGTAGTTAGTCATACCCAAAAGGATATTTTAATAAAAATAAAAGTCATAACACAGACTGTGTGTAAGTAAATGAATGAGTGGTATTTGGTTATAGCTTAAACCTGATACGTCTGGCCGAAAGTCACAAGGGGAAAGAAAGAATAAGAGATATAGACAAACGGATACAGACTAGCTGCTGTGCAGCTGGCTTAAAAGGAAGTTTGTGTAGTTGAGACGAAGAGAATGGAAGCTAACTAGAGAAAAAGAGCGGACAGAGAAATAAAAAGAGAGAGAAACGGAGGATGGTTGTATTTCCCTTTACCACTAGAGAAGTGGTCAGTTGAGCTCTCTCTTTAAACCCCATGATGTATATTGTCTTTTAAAGCTCCAATAATATACAGATGAGAACAACAAGAAAGACTATATGTTGCACATGAGAGCCCAGACATTCAGAGAGGTCAGAGATAATTAGAGAGTACAATATTAGATGAGACGTTCAACACAGCAAGAGGTGATCATGTGAGAATAGGCGTTGAACGTTTGGTTGACCCACACAAGGGGACAGCAGACCACAGAAGCTTATTAGATGAATGAATGAAAGAGAGTTGGAGATGTCAAAGAAAAAAAAGAAAAAATAAGTCTGATGCAATCTTATGACGTCGGTGGTTGAAAGTAAGAGATGTGGACAGGTAAATGATGAAAAACGAGAGAAATGCTTTTGATATACAACTTAAACAGCGTTTTTTCTCCAAAAAAATTATTTTTCATCTTATAAACTTTGAAATTTATTGGAGTCAGCTGGTAAAGTTTAAAGTTGTTGAAAAACAGTTTAAACCGAAGCATTTTCGTGAAAAAAGTGTTTAAGGAAGTCATCTGCTGAGGTTTCAAGATTTCGTTTCAAGACAGCTCTCCAACTACTACAAAGAGAAATAAGAGAATGTAAGAGTTTTAAATACATTCGTTTGTCATGAGGCTACATATCAGGGCAGGAAACCCTTTGGTTGCTTAGCAAATCATTACTAATTAGGGCAATGAATATAAAACGGTTGATCAATATGAATAATTAGTCGGGAAATGCGTTTTTACAAAAGGACATTGCTCTCTCACAGAATAAATGAGATAATTGTCCAAAAATAAATATTTGGTTCATGTCCAAATAACGCCTTTCTATCAACCATTTTAGCTTTCAGACAGTTACATTACAATTGCATTGAATGATGAAATCTAAAAAGATTTCATAAATGATGAAATAGTTGCGAATGATCTCATTCTTGTTCTCAGCAGATTTCATAGCAAACGTTCATTTTGTCTTGTGTCATACATATGACTATTCAAATGTTATGGAACAATATTAATGAAAATACTCACTTCACTTCAATCTCATTCGTATATGCTATATTCAGAGAAAGAGTGAAGGAAGTTTAAGATAGGCAAACATAAGGCAATAGTTTATAAGGAGCGCGAAGGACTGTAGACAGGCAGACTGGACAGGAAAAAAGCCAGAATATTTTGAATATCGTAAAGTTTTCAAGAAATTTTTTCACATGTTCAAAGCAGATGATGTCGTTTTTCTATACACAATCTATCACACAGTTTAAATGGGTTGGAAAACGCTTGTTCTCCCTCGGTAATCACTACAGAGAAAACCTGCTGAGATCATTCATGATATTTCTACCAGCGAATCAACATACATACAACTAAGTTCAACTTCCTATAAGATTAGGTTCAACTTACGACATCCGATTGTTCACCCGAAGTGTCAAAGTTCATTATTAGCAAATAGAGTAAATCTATAGATCATGGAGAATAATGAAGAAGCACACGGGGCCATCAACGGGGTTAAGAATGAGCTGATGAATCCAAGGGAGGGAGGGATGGAGGGAGGAGTAAGGTGGTAGAGGGCACAAGGGCGGAGCTAAATAACAGCAGAGCGTAAATCACGTGTTTGGACGCGTACAGCACGTGAATTTTGTGAATGAGAAAGGAAAAAAGAAGATAAGAGAGAACAGAAAAGAAAATATAGAAATGTGTGATAAATATGGATAAAACAGAAAATGGCACAACCGCTTAGCATGTTTTTGTGGACTGAAGTGACGCCGTTATTTCTCACGTGGATCTACGTCAAACATTAGCATATATAAAAATATGTGGAAAAGTAAACAATGGGAAGCAAATGGTTACAGATTATCCTCTTGATGTGTAAATGATAAATAAAATAGAAATATAGTTATCTACAGTTGTAATAGTGTTACCGATTATCATGCCGAGCCGTTGGATGCATATAAAATCGATAATGGTTATCGAAAGTATTTTTTACTAATAGCACTAATAAAAGTATCTGTGGCAAATGTTGAAAAATTCTCAAGCAGATAAATATTCTGAAGAAAACATAGGGAAAAAGAGAACGGAGGTATGCAGAGAAACTGAGAGATAGTGGAGGATGATAGGAGTAATATGTAAATCGTCAAAACATCAACAGTGTTGTGAAGAACGTTTGTGAATGAAGTGAACCACAAAAAACATCTGAAAGACAACAATTGATTTGTCTCACACATAAACACGATTAGGGTTCATTTGTTTTTCCTAACAACTCTTTTTAAAACTTAGTCAATCGATAATGGATAATCGATTGCTCCTTGTTTTACCCTAAATGAATTCCAGAACGGCCAGGTAATGGGGGTCTTATGTTTTTGAATGATCAAAATTCAGAAGGTAATAAAAGCATTATATTCGAATATTTTTCAAGTAAAAATAGAAAAAATAATGAGATTAGATAAGAATCGGTTATCACTTTACATGGAATTATTGATTGGCATTCTTTTAATGGGAACAAAAAGTATTAATCATATAGTAATTTGTTCCAAGCAAGTTCGAGAGTTCTATCCGAAGATGGTCTGAAACTGGTTAAACCTGTCAACTGAAAATGGTATGAAAAACAATCTAAACAGTAAAGCTGGAGATAGAGAAAGAAAGACAGGTGAAGAGAGAGAAAAAAAGAGAATCATGAGTGTACATGACGAATCTGACGCTATGGAACAGCACAGATCATGTTGTGAACGACGTAAAAGAATCTTATGCTTTCAAAGCACTTCTCCATTTGTCAGCTTCGTTCAGCCAATATTTGAAAAAGAAGATCAAAAATTGAATGATGCGAATCATAGTTCTATTTTAACAACATTGATGTTGACGTCATTAACTATACCATATAATAACTTGCTTTATACTTCAGAACACTACTCTAAGCACATGATAACTTGAACATTTCATGGATCTAAAACGCTATAAACCCAATTCAGCATGAATCATACATATTTAGAGTAAAAGAATGAGTAATTACTTTTTTTAATAATCCAATAGATCTGTTTTCAAACGATTTCATTTCGAACTTGATGTTTCCATTTCCAGAAAGCAAAGAAGACAAGTAAAAAAAATCTCTTATTGTTCTTTCTTTTCAATCATCATTTTCTCTTCTCTGCGTGTACTTTGTGAGCACATGAAACAGAGAAAAAGGTTTGGAGAGCCGACGATATTGCGTCATTCTTCTCACAGGTCAATCGGACATCATGCCTTTCTTTAGCCCAACTACTTCATATCTTCATCCTTACAAAGAAAAAAGTCTAACAGAGAGAAGGAGAGATAGAAGCGACTAGAGAGTGTTTCATAAAATAAAAAGAAAAACAGAGAAATATGAATCATTCGACCATACAAACAACATCTGATTATTATAATATTAGGCTACAATCGGTATGTCACGTCACTATTGTTCTTAGTTTTTTTAGTCGGTCAAGGGATCGAAAAGATAAAAAAAAAGTTCAAGTATAAATTCTTTTCCTCAATTATTTTAGAAAACTCATAATGTATCAATCTGTAAATGAGTAAAAATCAGTACGTTCAAAAACTGCCTACGACAGACAAGCAGTCTGTCTACAGTGTACGTGCTACGTCAGTGTGGTTTGTAAAAAATTTTGTTATTTGCGGTTGGAAGCTGCGGTTGTTTTGAATCTTTTTATTTTTTTCAGAAATAAACATTTTTTCAGTAAAAATATTATGCAAATGAGAATCAAAGATAAAGCTCTATGAAATGTTGATGAACACGTGTATCTTACAAGCGATTGAACACAGTAATCAATTATTATGGCAATGTGCTGGTCATTTTGGCAAGACTGGCCTTTTCTTCAAGAGAGGTTTGGGTTGTAGTAAATACAATTACATGTTGTAGGGAAATGGAGGCGAGCGCCGGTTACAGGATGATTCTTCATGCTTGGAAAGATAGCTACGCAAAGCAAACCTCTTCCCGCAACGATGACATTCATGAGGTTTTTCACCTGTAACGTATATTTTGAAATCTTTTCAATTATTGCCTAATCACCTGAATGTGTCTGTACATGGGCTCTAAGGTTACTTTTGTCAGCGAAGGCTTTGCCACAGGTCTCACATTTGAAAGGTTTTTCTCCAGCTAAAGTATTTTGTTTTCAATAATTGCCAATTGAACCTTACTGTGCGTCCTAATATGGCCCTGTAAAAGCCAATGTCGGCTGAATGTTTTTCCACAAATATCACATTGGCAACTGCCCATACGTGCACTGGATTTACGGTCAGACGATGATGGACTCGATGGAGAAACAGATGAGATACTTGCTATAATATTCGAGATTATTGAACTTTTGTTGATAAGTTATTCATACAGTTGGAGCTACTACTGCTGGCGCACCGAGTAGTATCGCGAGTAACAGGCAGTGATTGTTGATTGAACAGTGAGCTCATACTCAATGATGAAATAATAGGAAACGATGATCTATCACTGCCAATAGTTAAAGGCGCACTGGAAGCTTCAACTCCGAACCTTAATGTTACGACTGGTACGTACGAGAAACCATATTTGAGCTGAACGGATTTTATAACTTCAGAGGTTCTGCATAACCACACTACCTGTAGATGATTGAGAAGAGGGAGAAGCGAAGGAGTCACACATAAAGGTGGCAATTGTAGGGACATTGTGAGCTGAAAAGTGAAAATGTGATCAGAGGATCGTGTGCTCTTAGAGTACGAATAAGGTTAAAACAACAAAAATAACAAACATGCGTTCTCTTGAAGAACTGAAAAAAAGAAGTATTTGATAAAGGAGAAGACCCAGACAACTGATTGAGATGTTGTCATCATCTGAACAATGTTCACCAGATGCCGACGACGACATCTTTACAGCTTTGTGTTCATCTTTAGATGCTTTGAGATTTACGAAGAAAGCAACAGAAGGCTAATAAGCGAACACAGGAAATACTGATTATCAGAGGAGCATTACGAGAGATCTGAGCTTTTCGATGGCCCTCACTATGAATCATAAAAAAGTAGCTTGTAAAAGAGCGTAGATAGAAACAGAGTGCCAGGAGTGGTATAAAATAGTAATAGAGGTACGGAGGGTTGCGAGAGTAAAAGAGTAAATGTAAGCACTCTATTTTCTAGAAACGAACTGTACGTGGGAAGAGAAGTGCGCCAAAAATCAGAAAATGAACAAAATCAGAATAGAAGAGGTTGTAGTAAAGCTTAGAACTAATTCAAAAAGTTGTTAATAATCTAATGTGTGTCGTGTGAAGATCATTAGAGGGAGCCATTAGAATACATTACATCAACTAAGCCATACGTTGAAACTTATAAGCATATGTGTGTTAACTATACGGTAGAAGAAAACATGGCAGAGTGGAAGAACTAAACATTTCGCAAAAAAAGACATTTATTCTGTCGTGTTTTTTTAGAGGTGCGAAGAAAAAAGGACGGTAAATGCCGGCTCTTAAAAGTGAAAGAGATAATGAGTTGAAGATGAAGATGAAATGTGACATGTTAGCAGTCAACTCGCACACGTGTTCAAAACGGTTCGAAAAGATTTTCTTTCCGATGATGAAAAAAAAATGAACATCCAAACTTCTTTGAAGATGTTTAGATTACATTAACTATATATGGATGGGTAAGAGTACTTATAACACATGTTGAACACCTCCCACACCGGAACCTACCGTGTTATCTCCTCCCTCATATAGTTCCCTCCTCCTAGCTTTTTTTCAAAATATCTAGTTAATATAAAGTAATAAGAAATAAGAAGAGATAAGAGTTCAATTTGCAAATGCAGAAGGGAAAAAAGAAGTTTGAGAGAATAAAAAAAACAATTATCTTATCGTAATGAAATTGTCGAAAAATGGCTGTGAAGATGAAAGCGCTGGAGCAAAGAAGATTCAATATGACCATGATAAGATAACAAGGGAAGAATATTAAAAAAAAATCTCTTATTTTTCATATTAAATAGGAAAATATAACTGTTGGGGATAATAGCCGATGCGCTAAGCTTAAATCTTGTCAAATGAAGCCTAATAAGGGAGAAGCTGACAAGCTATCAGCTAATAAAAATATTTATGATTGGTAAGATAGATTAATATATGAACATTTACATATTGTGATATCCTAAGGTTATATCGAAACATGACAATACCATATAAGCTGCTAACAGATTACAAGAAAAGAAAAATTCGTCTTTTGCATTCTTTGAATGGAGGTGGAACCTTTCATCCTTAACCCATGTTTCACATTTTTTTCTCCCAAAATCTATTCTTTTCAAGTTTTTTCATCATTTGCAGTCTAGCACCTTTCATAGTTAATGTATTACATATCTTCACTATACATTAGAGAAAATAAACAGTTTGCAACTTTCTGTAATGGCAAGAGGATTTGTGAACTCGTCTTGGGTTGTCGATTTCCTCTTTCTCCATCCTCCAGCCTCTCTCTCCCAAACAATCAGAAAAATCATTGAAAAAGTGTTATAAAAAGAGTCTTGGAGGTAAGTTGATAGACCTCATAATGCATCTGAGTAAATCTGTCTCTCTTAAAGTACTTCAATGAAAATTCAATACTATTTGAAAACTTCTTCGCCTGATCATTCTCGGACACACATACACACACCTGTTCCCGTAAAGGGAAAACTGATGAAAAAAGAAAAATCAAAGCAAAGTGAGACCGGACTCTTGATGAGTTTCTCTTTCAACTTTTTAACCTTTCTCTCTCTCTTTCTACCGTTTTTTCTCTCTTTTAAGGGCCAACTACGGTTTTTTGTCATTTTTCATCCAATTTTCCAAGATAACGAAATGTTAAACTGGACAACAAACAAGGAAATGATATGAACCGTTCGACCAACTGTTGAAGCTTCTCTCTCCTATTGTTATTCAACAACTTGTTGTAAATTGTTGTTAAAAGGAACATCATAAATTCATTTGAAACTTACCGCCTGCCTTTTCATCTTTTACCGACAAACCAGATGGTTCAACTAAAACTTTCAAAGCCATATATGTATTTTTAATTATATCATATATAGTTAGTTATGTAACAACAAAACAGATATATTTATCTTTTTTAACAGCTGCTCCATACATTCTTACATAAGTGAAGCTGTTTGTTTATATAAGGATTAGATTAGTTATCCCTAATGATTGAGGCGTTGATGATGCGGCTGTTTCTTTGTAACAAAAAGTTTTTTTTATTTACTTTTCTACTTACTGACATGTAAGGACAAGAATCAGCTATTTTAATTTTATATAAAATACTTTATTGTTTCTGTAGATTGAATCGAAGGTCACATGAAGACGTCTAACATCTCAAACGTTGGAAATTTCGAGCCCATCTACGTCAGTCTTTCATTCGTCGACACGTGAGAGTCCACTGTCTTTTCTTATCATTCCGGCATATATTACAGTATTTCCGGTACATGGCCATATCCGGGCTATTGTGCTCCGGGCATAACATCATAAGACAACGATTGGACCGATTTTTATTAGAAGGAGCATGTTCAGCTATCGGCATCATACTTATCTTATATGATATAGTAATAAACGTTTCTTTGTGGAAACAGTTCAGTCCCGACATTATGCTGACGGCAAATGAAATAAGAGTTGGAGCAATATCAAAATTTGAAAAATAGAAGAAAAAAACAATAAATTACCCTAAAATCCATCGTCAGCTGTCTCGTAAATGTGTTTTGTGATGTTCATTTCTCTCAAATATTTCCTGCTTGATCCTTCAATTCACTATTTGATTGAAAAAAAGAGTTTTCAATTATGAAAATGAAATTATTGATTATAATTAGCATAATTATAATTGGATGTTCCTCGTTAACATGCTATAATGTAAGTTTTGAGCGCTATTACTTTTCAATTTTTAATCTTTGTAAGGGAATGAAGATGTTATCCATGCAAGCAGTTGGTGAATCGAGCGAGGTTCATTTCTCTTAATAACACTCTCAAAATAAAATTTGAATATTAGGAATGTCAGGATAGCGGAGCTTCGTGCTATAACATGACAGCTTCGGCCATGCTTCTTGTGGATGTTGTCAAAGCAGGATGCTCAACATGGCGTTGTATGGTAGATATAAGTAGTGAGATGAGCTTTTAATCATACTATATGTAGCTTGCTAAAAACCGTTGTATATCCACATACTTCCAAATGGTTCCTGTGAGTTTATGCTGCTGCGATTCGGACCGTTGTAATGTTGCAGGAAATCCAACAGGAGCATTCAACAACTTCGGTTCAACTGAGTAAGCTCTTTCATTAATTATTAAAATAATTAATGAGTTTCAGCCCAAATAGTAATTTCCAAAACAAGTATGTTGAATGAAATTATCATTTGAATTCTCGTTATTCAGCTATCCTCAGAACAATGCGGTGAAAGAGACCAAGTACTTGATTTGTAGTTTTTCGAATATTTCTTAGACATTTGTGTCTATAAGATGTTTTTGAGCTTGCCTTTTAGAACCTTTTTAACCTTAAAAAGCATAAAAATTGCAGTGAAGCACAAAAATCCAATTGGGGAACTTCATGGACAGCACCCGCTTCCGCTGGGTAATAATATTTAATTTTTCATTAACTGAATCATATGCAATTGCAGTTCGTCTACAAAACAATGGACAAAACAAGAAGTTGAAGATAAATTTAAGAATTTCGATGTTGATCAACGGCCCACGAGTGCTACAGGAGATGCTGTTGGTTAGTTTTCATCAAAAAATACTTCTTTCAACTTTCGTTTTTATTAGAAATAGAAGAAGTTTTCGTTAAAAAGGACGCTCTCTCCACATCTCCACCACGAGCAGCATCTTCCTCAACTGGCAATCGCGCCGAACGTCTCCAAACTTCCAACAATAATAACGGAAAAGATGAGATTTCTATTCCGTAAACTCTATGGAAAAACATATTTCAAATGTTTATTCCTTGCCGAAAAATAAACTTTCTCTATAGTAATATGTGGTTTTTCATGTTTATTTATATGAAAATAAGTTATGATTGAAGAGTAGCTGACGATTAAGAATTTATTAATGAAAACCAACACCTATGGTTTTGGAATTGGGGCTGAGTTGGTACGTCGCTACCCTACCCTATAGGGTAATAGGTCCGACTTCGGATGGCGGCTAACATTCTGGCTGGTGCTTGACGGTGACTGATTCTTGCCCAGATTGTCCAAAAATGACAGAAAAACTGATGAAATTGGGTAAAAACGTGTCCCAGAAACAACATTTTATATACTACTGCTTTGGATGGACAGATCATCATCATATGGCTAATCTGCTTCACTCTTCTCTTTCACTCTCTGCTCACTCTCTCTATGTCACTATCAATTTCTCGAGCCTTCCTCTCTTTCTCTTTCTCTTTTTTAACCGATTAGAACGAGTTACTTCTATCACTATTTTTCATTTGGCAAAAAAAAACATTTTGTGAACGTTGAAATATTGGAGAGGAGACAAGCCAGAGATACAAAGGCTCATAGAAAGTGAATAATGAAAGAGAGAAAGAGAAAGAAGAAGAGGTTAAATAGAGAAAGAAAGAGTCATGGAACTTGTTTTCCGGTTTTTCTTTATTTTCCCATAGTCGGTAAATAGCCTGAAACAACGAATTTGTGTTGAATAAGCATTTGAAACATTTTTTAATTTTTATTTTGAAGAAAAACTTTTTTTCTCCAGGAAAGTCTTTCCTTAAGTTGTTTTTCTAATTTCATCAAGGGCTATTCATCTCTTCTCCCTCTCTATCTCTCTCTTTCTATAATACTCTCCTTTACTTTCCCTCCCTCTATCTCTCTCTATGTGCTCCCTTCTCTCTATTCCTATCCGTCTCTCTATTGTTGTTACCACTTGAATATTCTGGTTCAAAGTAAAGCCGGAACGTTCTGAAAATTTTTTCATTTAAGGAATGAATGATATCATTTTCTTTCTTATCTTTCTTTTAATTATTTTCTGCTTTTGACACTTTTATAATTAAATTTTTCTTTTTCAAAATCCCTTAAATCTATACATTTCAGTTGTTGTGACCCTTTGTAACCATGGAGATATTCGTCTTTACAGTGAACTATTTCTCTCATTCTCTCTATCTCTCCCTCTCTCTCTATCTCTTTTTCTCACTCTCTTCCTCTATCTCTCTCTCTCTCTCTTTCATTCTCTCCTCCCCCCCCCCCCCCCCCGGGGGGGCCAAAATTTTTATAAATTTTTTTTTTTTTTTTTTTTTTTTTTTTTT